TTATGAGTCCCCTGCAGCCAATACCCCTCCAAACAATGACCAGCTCCATATCCTGTGGACCGCGCCATTTCTTTCAACTGCTTATTGGACAGGGATGGGGGGGGGGGGGGGGTAGTCGATGGAAAATACCACTTTAAAAACAGCCCATCTCCATGGCAGTAGCTCTTCCTCTCCCATCACTGTAAAAAGGGAGAAATACCAAAAACAACGATATGCAACGGAGAAAGACAACATAGTGTACATGTTGGAATGGAAAGAGAGCGAGAGACAAAGATCGAGAGAGGGGAAGAGCGAGAGAGAGGGGAAAGAGAGCGAGAGAGGGGACAGAGAGCGAGCCGAGGGGAAAGAGAGAGAGGGGAAAGACAGCGAGAGAGAGGGGAAAGAGAGCGAGAGAGGAGACAGAGAGCGAGCCGAGGGGAAAGAGAGAGAGGGGGGAAGAGCGAGAGAAAAAAAAATGTCCCCTCTCTCGCTCTCTTTCCCCTCTCTCTCGCTCTTCCCCTCTCTCGATCTTTGTCTCTCGCTCTCTTTCCATTCCAACATGTACACTATGTTGTCTTTCTCCGTTGCATGTGTGTGTGTGTGTGTGTGGGGGGGGGGGTCATTGTGTAGAGGTGTGAGTGGATAAGCAGCAGAGCAGTAGTGCATCTCTGATGGTTACAACTGCCTTCCTGTAAGAGGCCTCCTTGTCAAGGTCAAACACCACTATTGTAGAACTAAACTCTAAGCATCAGATGATATTTCAGATCTGAGTCTTTTTGTTTGCCAACAAACACATATGTTTTTACTTTCTTAGTGTACAGTAATATAATCACAGCTGAATCTCAGTACATATACATTCATCTTGTGATGTAAACGATAGATCTGATCAAGACAACTCCACGACTCAAAATGAGCATTGTTTAGAACAAACTGATGCGACTGTAAAGAAAAGGGGCAACACGTCCAGGGGAGGGAGTCTGCCCCTCATTTGCTCGACATTCTCACACACAGGTTCCGGCACGATATGTGTCCGGCTCTTGGCCCATAAATAACAAGGCTGTTTCTACGGATTGAATATCTGTGTTGGGGGATGTGGATGAGATTCTGGACGGGAGGCCACAGGAGAGAGCGCTGTGTCCTCAGCTGTTGCGTGGAGGAGACCGGACGGGAGTTACAACAAGTCTGTAGACCTCAGTGAGATTATACTACATTCATACACACACACACACAGCTTTGTGCTGGCAGTCTTCATTACTCTCTTTCCCTCTGTAATTCCTGCTCTCTCTCTTTCACTCTTTCCCTCTCTGTTGTGGCTCACATCATTACTAGTCGCATGAAATGCCTGTCTCTGCAGTTCTCACACATTCTAATGTAAGTATCACAATCCAGTGGATAAAAAGTAATATTCTCATGAATAATTTTAGCTAACATCTTGAGCGCCTTGCTCTTGGCTAACACTTCAAAACACCAGTTAAACTGCAGTAAGGAAACATACGTTCACTAGGTCTGTATGCCCTCCTTGTGTTAGGATTCAATATGAAGGACAAACTAATCTACAGCCTTCTTCTCCACTCTGCTGTGTTATTGGACTGTTCTACAGCCTTCTTCTCCACTCTGCTGTGTTATTGGGCTGTTCTACAGCCTTCTGCTCCCCTCTGCTGTGTTATTGGACTGTTCTACAGCCTTCTTCTCCACTCTGCTGTGTTATTGGGCTGTTCTACAGCCTTCTTCTCCACTCTGCTGTGTTATTGGGCTGTTCTACAGCCTTCTTCTCCACTCTGCTGTGTTATTGGGCTGTTCTACAGCCTTCTTCTCCACTCTGCTGTGTTATTGGGCTGTTCTACAGCCTTCTTCTCCACTCTGCTGTGTTATTGGGCTGTTCTACATCTACAGCCTTCTTCTCCACTCTGCTGTGTTATTGGGCTGTTCTACAGCCTTCTGCTCCCCTCTGCTGTGTTATTGGGCTGTTCTACAGCCTTCTTCTCCACTCTGCTGTGTTATTGGGCTGTTCTACAGCCTTCTTCTCCACTCTGCTGTGTTATTGGGCTGTTCTACAGCCTTCTTCTCCACTCTGCTGTGTTATTGGGCTGTTCTACAGCCTTCTTCTCCACTCTGCTATGTTATTGGGCTGTTCTACAGCCTTCTGCTCCACTCTGCTGTGTTATTGGGCTGTTCTACATCTACAGCCTTCTTCTCCACTCTGCTGTGTTATTGGGCTGTTCTACAGCCTTCTTCTCCACTCTGCTGTGTTATTGGGCTGTTCTACAGCCTTCTCCACTCTGCTGTGTTATTGGGCTGTTCTACAGCCTTCTCCACTCTGCTGTGTTATTGGGCTGTTCTACATCTACAGCCTTCTCCACTCTGCATTTTTGGCTGTTGCAAAGCGGCCATTTTGTTGTCCTGCTAAAGGGCACTACACAGTCTATGCAAACGGAGCGGACAGCGGCCCATTTGCGTCGCGTTCCCAAAAATTCTGCCGCACAAATGTATGTAGAAGTACGTAGAGAGTAACACAAACTGACCTCCGTTTGCGTTGACCGTGTAGACTCCTTAAAGCTAACCCAAGCCGCTCCTGCTCCTTTAAAGCTGAGAGGCCTGGACGTGTGGAGGATTTTCCTCTAGCCCCGAGCTGAGACTGATTCTTCTCTGAGCTCCAGCTCAGTAACCTCTGCCAGCCCTGCTCCCATTCAGGGCCAGAAACAAACCGGGGCCACAAACTCCATTGGTTTTAAATTCAGCCCACATGACATTTCCTTCAACTTTAATTGCTTTCATACAATTTATATCTGCAAGTCACGCAAGGCCAAAGTGCTGTGCAGCTCTCTGGCATTACAAAGCCCCTCTTGTCCTGTAATAACCCCCATCAGCAGGAGAGGAGAGGGGAGCGGCCCAAACGCCCGGCCATCCAAACAAGCAGGTCTTCATGCTCTTCCAACTCACATATTGGGACAGGAAGTGGATCCAGCGAGTCCGCAGAGCCCAGGCCAGGCCCCAGCCAGGGCCGTACAGAGCTGGCCTCAGAGTCTGCCTGACCAGCAGGTAGCTTAGTGGTTAAGAGCGTTGTGCCAGTAACCGAAAGGTCGCTGGTTCTAATCCCCGAGCCGACTAGGTGAAAAATCTGTCGATGTGCCCTTGAGCAAGGCACTTAACCCTAATTGCTCCTGTAAGTCGCTCCGGATAAGAGCGTCTGCTAAATGAGTAAAATGTAGAAAGACGAGGCAGAGGGATCCAGCATGTCTGCCTGCTTGCCTGGCTATCTGCCTGGCTGATAGATTGGCTGACCAACATCTGTTCTGGCTGTTCCACAGAGGCTTCAGATCTGTCTGTTTTGCAGACGTCTACAGGCCTGTTACTTTGCAGCAGTACAGGCTATTGTTTTGGAATTTCTACTCCTTCACTCAATTCAATTTCAATTCAAGGGCTTTATTGGCATGGGAAACGTATGTGTGACTCCGTGTGTGCGACTCCCTAACCATTCCCCCTCTCCCCACTCCGTGTGTGCGACTCCCTAACCATTCCCCCTCTCCCCACTCCTTCCTTTTGCCTAGAACAGTGTCTGAGGCAGCAGAGAGCGAAAGAGAGGGAGGTAGAGAGAGCCTTGTGGCCCCTGGCTTAGGGCCTCTACCTCCAGCCGAGTCTATGGGAGCAAGAGGGAGGAGGAGCAAGAGGGAGGAGGAGCAAGAGGGAGGAGGAGCAAGAGGGAGGAGGAGCAAGAGGGAGGAGGAGCGCGACTCTTACATTTTTCCAAAACAACAGTTCAATCAGTGACCAAAGAGACAGCCGATTGGCTGCCTGTGCCCGGCACATGTAATATGTCACAGCTAGGTGACTCATAGCATACGGAGACCCAGTGAAACTGACCTCCAGGTTAGTACACTAAAGGTTACTGACAAACAAAGGCACTTGTGGTTGGGATGGATCAGGGGGCAGGAAACCAAAGACACTAAAATCAACTGAACTCTACCTGGCTGCCTCAGTTTGGGTCCTACTAATGACAACTGCTGCCGATATCAGTCACTCTTCTTCTGCCATTGGTAAGGAGTGCCCCTGGCCCAAGCCAGAGAACGGCTGGCACAAAACATTCCAAAACAATGACACCAAAGAATCCAAATTAGGACGTTATTGTCATTGAACATGTTGTGCCAACATGGATGACAGCTCTGAGAATATCTGTGACTCTGCTCTGACCCGGTCATGCCCTTGGGATCTAGCCGCGCCCTTGATGAAAATAATCAAACACCAGTCACCCAGACTTTTGACCAACATTTGACTGGTGGTCTAGTCGTAATAACTCATACCCACCCCAGGTTGAAAATAAAAGGGTAAGACAAGAGGAATCTAATATCCCATAACTCTTTGCATAAATGAGGAAGAATTCTAAACTAAGGGACCAGCGATGCCACTTAGCAACGGCGCTGGTCCCATGAATCTGTTTATTTTCTAAAGCTTCCGCATGGAATCATTACATTGTGCTAACCTGGGTAATCTTCAACCTAGTACCCACCCAGGACCTCTAACCCCAACAGCCACTTCCACTCCCCGACCCTGCCTTCCTGGTAGAATCCCACCACCACCATCCACCTGCTGCCAGTCCAGCTTACAGGTGCAGAACAGAACAGAACTCTCACCCTGCCCATGTAGACCTACCTGTACATCCTCCCAGGACAGCCCCAACCCAGTGTGACCGACGATGAGGCCTACCCTCTCAGCAGAAACAGCCTCCAATCGCTCCCCGACCTCTCCTCTCACATGCCCCTACAGGTTTGATATCAACGTTGAGTTTCAAACAGATTGTTTTATCCAGGCTTGAATGGCTGTGATAGCACTGCAGTAACAGTGGTAATCACTCACATCCCTATGTGCTGTGAGGACACAGCAAGATTTTTTTTTAAAATCAGCCTTTCGTCCAGACTGAGCCACTAACAGTAAACTATTAAAGAACTGAATACACCGTTCAATCACATCACTATCCAGGCATGTTAGTGGTTTGCACCTGGTAGCTGGCCAGTTAAGTAGAACTTTTAATGAGCTGGTTGGTCTAATCCAAGCAGTGGCTCGGAGTCTGTTTCTGTGGGTCTGTCCACGCATGCCAGAGTCTGTTTCTGTGGGTCTGTCCACGCATGCCAGAGTCTGTTTCTGTGGGTCTGTCCACGCATGCCAGAGTCTGTTTCTGTGGGTCTGTCCACGCATGCCAGAGTCTGTTTCTGTGGGTCTGTCCACGCATGCCAGAGTCTGTTTCTGTGGGTCTGTCCACGCATGCCAGAGTCTGTTTCTGTGGGTCTGTCCACGCATGCCAGAGTCTGTTTCTGTGGGTCTGTCCACGCATGCCAGAGTCTGTTTCTGTGGGTCTGTCCACGCATGCCAGAGTCTGTTTCTGTGGGTCTGTCCACGCATGCCAGAGTCTGTTTCTGTGGGTCTGTCCACGCATGCCAGAGTCTGTTTCTGTGGGTCTGTCCACGCATGCTTGTGTGTATAATAAAACACACACACACACACACACTTCTCAGACCGGAACCTTAAAGCTGCAATATATAACTTTTTGGGCAACCTGACCAAAATCACATTGAAATATGAGTTATAGATCCGTCATTCTCATTGAAAGCCAGTCTAAGAAGAGGTAGATCTGTTCTATGTGTGTTATTTCTATGCTTCCCGTTCTTAAGTTTTACTTTTGCTTCTTTTACTTTCGGTTTTGTACACCAGCTTCAAACAGCTGAAAATACAATATTTTTGGTTATGGAAAATATATTTCACAGCGTTTTAGATGGTACAATGATTCTCTAAAATATACTTGTTTGTTTTGTCACAAACTGAAATTAGGCGACCTAATAGAATTTTAGCAACAAGGAAATCGCGGAGCTATTTCTGCATAGTGCACCTTTAAGAAGGCAGAACACTAATACAGGCAGCACTACAGGATACAGACTCTGGTTGCTGATAGGTCAAACCAATCACAACAACACGGCTGATATTAGTTATGCATTACATACGAACACTACCAATGAATTCAACATACAACAGATTTATGCACAGATCTATGGCAGATGAATGCGCTTCTGTTTGAAGCCCTTTGAAGAGACTGTACCTATCATTAAATGTCAAACTCAGGCTTAATTACAGACTACCCTTATTCCCAATTTTTTTTTTTTGTAAGAACAAAAACCATCCAAACGTTGAGGAGTTTCCTAGTAAAGCAGACACCCTGGTATGTATGCAGTGAGACAGCTTTGTGTAGGATGCAGGCACACACACACACACACACACACACACACACACACACACACAGCCTTGAGTATGCAGACCAGATGAAAGCCCTACTCTAGGCTCAGAACCATGGCATAAATTGGACAGCAGACATGCTGGGGTCCATGTCTATACATAAAAAAGGGCCCCAGGACCTAGAATTCAAGATAAAAGCCAGGATTCAATAAGGGCCGCGGAAAGTCCGATTGAGCTGACATCTGCAGCATTGACTTTGAATGCGATCTTCGTGACCGTAGTAACAATGCATAGCCCGAAAAGGGGCCAATCAGATTGAACCCCGGCCAAAGTCTCATCGTTTATCACCATTCTTTCCTGTCTTGACTTTCACCTCTGCCTCAGTGTACCAGGAAAGACTGTCCAAATCTCGGTCCCAACCCCAACCCCTGTACTAACTCAACCCAGCAGAGAGAGAGAGAGCCAGGGATTGGTTGGCTAAAACGCTGAATGGCTTCTGCTCTTCTCTCAGCATCAAATCACCTCTCCTCTAGTCCAGAGTCCAGGGAGGACAAAGCCACACACGCTGATCTCCCTCTCTCTATTACCACTATCATCTACACCATCGCTCTCTCTCTATGAACTCTTTCTATCGCTCGCACTGTCATTCTATCACACAGACAGGTACTCACTCACTTTACTGTAAGTTCCTCTACTGTAAACCCACCCAACGCACCGCTATATCAAGCCAGCTAGGCAGCTCCTCCTCAGTCCAGCTTGGGGACGCAGGGTTAGGAAGTGGAACCTTGAACAGTTGGACTGGAACACTGGGGTTGAAGGTGTCTGTGAGTGGATGTCTGTGAAGGGAGTCAGTCAATGGGGACAGGCTCCTGTTACAGTGGTAGTGAAGATGGGAGCATTGGGAAGGGTTTGGACACGTTTCAACTGAGAGAAATGGGAAAACTAGGAGAGGTTGAGTGGGTGACACAATGCATTCGTTTTACAGTTACCACATCCTGACTGGATTAAAACTGGACTGTGCTGTCATTTAGGCCTATTCACTGTCAATTGTACTAAGCACTAAATGAAATTGTGTCAGCCGTTGTGACACGCATTGTATTCACGAGTGTGCGGGTGGGGGGGAGGGGGGGGGGGGGTATAATAGATTAAATAATTGTCTTGTGGAAACACACAGCGGGTGGATGTGAGAGAAGCACAAGACAGTAAGGATGTGTGACCTATGACCGGGGGAATACTGTCATTGTGCAGGATTTCCTGCAGAGCCAAATGGCAGGACTCTAAACCATAAAGGCTTTAACCCTATTATTTTTCATTTGAGGATTACACACATTGTATCCCAATCCTTTTGGGGGGCATTCTAATGTAAAGTAAAATTCCGGAAAAGAACACTGGAAAAAAAGTTCTGAAAAAAAAATCATGCCTCAAAGAGTTTTAAAGGCAGACAGGACAGGAGTCATGATGGAGCAGCAGTGGCCTCCTTAACAAAGAGCTCAGAGTGAAACTTGCCGATCCAGCAGCTCCGGGCCAGCCAGGCAGACTTTGTTTTCCTGCCTGGTTAATTGCAGGGTGCGGTGGGGCCGGGGCTCCCAGCTTTGTTGCTGGTGACAGAGCCAACTGTGAAAACCTCTGCAGGATCGGGCATGTTCACACCCCCGGCTGGGAACGAGAGAGAGGAGACACCTCCTGGAGCCTGGGGTTAGACTGCAGGCGTTCCCTCCCTCACCTCCCCCTCTCCACAGCTCCCAAAAAACACAGCCGCTCCTTCTTTCCCTGCCTCCCCCTCTCGCTGCCTCCCCCTCTCCTTGCCTCCCCCCTCCCTCTTTCCCTGCCTCCCCCTCTCCCTGCCTCCCCCTCTCTCTTTCAATTCAATTCAATTTAAGGTCTTTATTGGCATGGGAAACATATGTTTACATTGCCAAAGCAAGTGAGGTAGATAATAAACAAAAGTGAAATAAACAATAAATATTAACAGTAAACATTACACTCACAAAAGTTCCAAAAGAATAAAGACATTTCAAATGCCATATTATGTATAAATAGTTAAAGTACAAAAGGGAAAATAAATAAACATAAATATAGGTTGTATTTACAATGGTGTTTGTTCGTCACTGGTTGCCCTTCTCTTGTGGCAACAGGTCACAAATCTTGCTGCTGTGATGGCACACTGTGGTATTTCACCCAATAGATATGGGAGTTTATCAAAATTGGGTTTGTTTTCAAATTCTTTGTGGATCTGTGTAATCTGAGGGAAATATGTGTCTCTAATATGGTCATCAATTATGGTCATACATCTTTCCCTGCCTCCCCCCTCTCTCTCTCTCTCTCTCTACATTCTCACACCCTTCTCTTTCTCCCTGTTGTTCTCACCAATCTTCCTCCCACTTGTCCAACCTCCTCCCCTCGCTCTGTTTTTCCTCCCATTACAGAATCACCGCATGCAACCCCCACCTCTCCTCTGGGAAGTGATCTAACTCATGAACAGCCGGACCTCCTGATCAGTGCACCCTCTGTTGTGTGGTAGTTCTCCTGACATCGTTAGTTCTCGTGAGGGTCGGTCAGGCCACGCCTCCCTGCTTCCGTCATCATCTCTGTGCGTTTACTTTTCAGCCCAATGGCTGCCTGTTTTCCTGGGAACACATCCTCTGATGGCATTGTCATTCATGGTTTTGCCTGGTCAGTTGGCGTTTAGCATGCTAGTAGATACCCATAGACTTCGTCATTACGCTAAAGCTAGTTAGCATTGGCTTGCGAAACTACCTCCAATTTTCTTCATACTGGACACAGACATAAAAATGGTATCCACTAGTTCTGGGGTATGCAACCTCTGTTCCTGGAGTGCCCCAGGTACTGCAGGATTACTGTTCCAACTAGGCACCACACCTGACAAACCTGAGCTAATTGATCAGTTCAGTGATTGCGTAATTTAAAACACCTGGTCTTCCAGGTCGGTTAAATCAAAACCATGAAGTCCCTGCGGCGCTCCAGGACCGGGGTTGCCTTCCCCTGTACTAGTCCATCAGACCCTGGTGATGTAGATAAAAGGCCTCATTAGCTTAAAGGGATACTTGGGGATTTTGGCAATGTTAAGTATCCCTTTAAGCTAATGTTAAGTATCCCTTTAAGCTAATGTTAAGTATCCCTTTAAGCTAATGTTAAGTATCCCTTTAAGCTAATGTTAAACTGGTACTGATTACTCTTGGAGACAATGGGCATCGGACTGTTGGTACTGCACTGTTGAGTAATCAGGGAACAAGATTGAGGGTCAGTGTGTGAAAAAAAGGGTGTGTGAAGTGAATGTGTATGTTTTAGCAGAGAGGCCTCTGCTGCCCTGAGGCTGAATGGAGAGTAAATCAGGGTGTGTTTTCTCACACCTTCTATAATTACTGCCCCTTTAGAGGACACCCTGCTGAGCTGAACCCTACCACACACACCAAAGTTCTGCCTTGAATCAGGTAGCCATGGTGACCCCTGGGCCAGGGAAGAATGGGTCTGCCTGGCCGTCTCACTCTTCAGAGTCTAGAGTCGCAACACTCATTAGCATTGAGACTGACGGTGTCTCCAGTAGGAGAGATGGAGAGATATGAGCCAGCAGCACTGATAAGCTCATCACTTTCTTATCAAGGTGATCACAGGTAGGTGTGTGTTTGAAACAGCTGACAGAACAGAGCCTCTTCATTGATTCAAACACTGATATTTTCAGTCACACACACACACACACACACACTTCCTTTCAGTACACTGTGGGCATGTGCTGAGGTGAGAGGTGAAAGGTCAGCGTGACACCTCAGTGTGAAAGGCATCTATCTGCTGTTATGGTGCCTTGTCCCTGTGCATGGGTGAGTATTAGAAACAGAAGATACAGCCATTGTGGTTTAACCGGCTGGGGCTCAGAGAACAAAACCAAAGATAACTTCACTGCTGTTGCACAACACACTAGACTAGAGGTGGTCTGTTATCACGTTGCCCGTGGAGATAGGTCCCTTACTGAATGGGAAAACTTTCCATCGAGTGTATTAGGGGCAGCTGCTCTTTCGTGTTATTATATGGCCTAGCACAAAACATAGAACAATTCTGGGAATTAGATGAATCTACTTAAAACAAAAGCGTGCAGCCTGCGTGAAAAGTTTGACATAGCGCTCTAGGGGGTCCCTGCAAGCACAGACAGGTACGGCTCACACAAAGGACTTGATGCTACCTACAGGCCATTACGTATTAGGTCAGACCTGTGTGAATAAGGGGATGGCATTATAAGGTTTTAGCTGACAGCGCCAAACAAAGACAAAAATAATGTCTTCTTTCTCACTTGCCACACAGGTGTTCAAAGGGGCCAATCCTTCAGCACAGTTTATTTTTTTTATTTTACCTTTATTTAACCAGGTAAGCCAGTTGAGAACAAGTTCTCATTTACAACTGCGACCTGGCCAAGATAAAGCATAGCAGTGCGATAAAAACAACAACACAGAGTTACATATGGGGTAAACAAAACGTACAGTCAATAACACAATAGAAAATATATATACAGTGTGTGCAAATGTAGCAAGTTATGGAGGTAAGGCAATAAATAGGCTATAGTGCAAAATAATGACAATTAGTATTAACACTGGAATGCTAGATGTGCAAGAGATTATGTGCAAATAGAGATACTGGGGTGCAAAAGAGCAAAGCTATGACTGTTGGGGTTTATGCTCAATTTGCACTGATTTTTTCACAGCCCACTTTCTAAGTCTATCATTTGAGATCAACCAATGTCATCTGAAGTGAGTCTTACACTGAATGAACTTCAGATCTGTGGTGCTTTAAGGATTATGGATTTTTTGGAAGGACTGGGGACTTTTACATTTGTGTGTTTTCTGTAGAATAATAAATAAATACAAACTTACTTGAGAAAGTACTTCTGTCCGTTGGACGTGTAGGCCATCTCCCATCCATGGGGCAACTCTTCGGCAACATCGAAAGACTGGTGGCGGATGTGCGAGTGATGTACCGGGCTTGGAGTTGGGTTGGCTCCCAATCCAAGCTGTAAGGTCGCGGGCGAGGAATGTGACCGTACATGTTGTACGGTGAGTCTGGGCGGGTGGCTGCCCGAATCAGTGCTCGACTGTCGGGAGTGAGATCCAGAATCTGGCTCCTTGAAAAAAGAGTCGGGTAACATTTTTTTCCTCCATGAACTGGGTTTCGGGTTCATAACCGAATTAAAAAGCGCCTCGAGATCCGTATCCGAGTCCTGCGCGACATGGATAACTTGTTGTCCTGGCATTGGCTGAAGTGGTTTGCTCATTTTGTCTTAGTGGAAAAGTTAGAGCAATACAGAAAATATAAAAACTATTTAAAGTTGAGGCTTTATACAAATATCAAACGTTGAACCTTCTGAAGTAGGCCTAGGCTACTCTGTATGTTATGAACCCTCTGTGTGGACAAAAATAGTTCACCTTTCTGCCGTCAAACTCGCATTAAAACTATTCTAGAATAGTAAGATAGAGAACACTAAAATGTGTCCCTACATGAGAAAAGTAATTTGAAATGTAGCTACTTTCCCTTTGCTCCGGCCAGTTCGATAGATCTTGTTGCTCCTGCCCGGACTCCGATCCCGTCCCAAAGTTTGTAAACTCAACTTTTCTACGCCGCCTGTGTCAGCAGTCGCTCATGAATTATGCATGACCTCCGGCGCTAGAGGGGTAGCACAGTTTCATGATTACAAAACAAATATCTCTCAACTGCCTGAAACTATTGATGGCGGGTGTAACAATGACGCAAATGTTGAAATAGTTCAAACTCAACGCCATAAAGTTGCGGAATAGAGTGGTTGCGAGTTTGTTTTTGTAATAAATCACAGCCGTTTCTTTCCTTTTGGAGATGATCCTGTGTTCTGCTCTATACTAGTAATTTACTGAAATATAACAACTTCAGTAGATTAAGTAAAGTTCATCTAAAACTGTCCACAGAGACTAAGATGTCGACTGGATATATATGTGTTTTGAATGTTCTGTAAGAAAATAATGACTTTTTGGGTGAAAAATAACAGCCGTGGAATCGTTTTGAATGTAGGCTAACTCATTGTCACACAACACCCCCAGTGTGGGTGTGAAAACATTACCCTACCCATCTGTTGAATAACCATTTGAAACTTGAGAGCTTGGTGCCCCGTCCTAGATGTTTTGACTGAAATAAATGTTTCTCTGTGATTTTGCCCGAGTAAACATAAACTATGCAGTGTTCTCTTCGAAGTAGGTTTCTCATTAATTTGCCCATATATAGTAGCATGAATGATAAGCCGGCCCACGCCTGTCAGAAACCTTACTTTTCCTCTTTGTGAATTTTCAATCCCCTTTATTCTATAGTGGTCCAGTTTATAGTGTGGCGAGTGGCCTATATTTGATAAAATGACAAATACATTGCGCTTGCAATCGTTTCATTACTATGTCAACACATTGCACTCATGGTGAATTTTATCCAATGTATTTTTTTTTTATCTAGGTGAATTTTATCCAATGTTTTTTTTTTTTATCTAGGTGAATTTTATCAAATGTGTTTTTTTTTTAAATTAAAAATATCCACTAATGTGATACACAGGGCAAATATGACTTTGGCTCAATTGATAAAAAATATCAACATTAAGGTATTGGAACGCAGCAGGTTAAATCTCTGTTAGTGGGCTAAATTATGCTCCATGTTCATAATGATGATGAATGCATAAGAGTTTTGTTTGTTTACTTTTTAGAATAGATGAATATATGCTGCCCAGTCGGTGGCCCTTCAGGCCTGTAAGCACTGTGTGAAACTGTATCACGGGACACGATAAAAGCAACCAGAAGCCCCTTGTACTCCACAGAGGGTGCAGCTGTCCTTTGTAATGTCAAATGCTAAGAGATGGCGCGTGCCACCCAGTAAACCAATCCCTTTGATGGACAAATACTCCATCCTCAACAATGTACCAACCAAGCAGCCATGCACTCCTCAGTCTGGCTGGCTGCCTGTTCCGGGGGGGGGGGGGGGGGGTCTGGTCTGGGTTCACTGGTCCATGTCCGGCCTCAGACCACCAACCCCACATCACAGAAGTAGTGCACCTACAAGAGTACAGTAGAATCTTCTCAGAGACCAAAAATTCAAACTGTTTCCTCTGGATTGGAAGCTTTTTGGTCTGGAGGTAGACTATGTATGGTTGACTATAGGGTGCAGAATGTTGTCACACAAAATAAATCAAATGTATATTTTTATTGAACTCATACAGCCTGACCCAGTAGGTACAGTCATAACCCATAAGTCATCCTGATGTAACATTTGGGTAACATGGCATGCCCAACCCCAAGCTGTCAGGCATGCCAGGAAAAGCCCCGATCAGATGGTGGGGCAGTCAGTGAACAGGGATTGTATTCAACCACATAACATCGACTACATCCATAGTGGAGACATAATTTGAATTGAAGGTCAATAAAGAATTATAATTATTATGTAAGTCAGTTTCTCATTAAAGTTCATATTCTGTTAACTCACACCCAAATCATCTATTTGACTCGTCTTATACTCGTATTTGTGGCCAAAGCATAAATAAAAAATAAAAATACTTTAAAAATCTCACCTCAAGCTTGTATCTCAAACAAATCCTTGCTATTTTCTCATAGAGAATGATGTCATCATTGACTGAACTGGCCAATCAGCGGTCTACTCGCGTGAATATTTTTAACTTTTAATAACAGGTATAACCCCACACCATTCCAACACAGAAAAGCTGCTTTTAACATACTTTTCATTCCAAAAAGTAGTAATTAAGTATTTCACCCATATTGTAATTAATTATAGGTCTTTTTTGTTGTTGTTTACATCTGGAAACACTGAACAGTTACATTAAAGGATTAGGATGAATCCACTCCCAAATAGCTCATTCTCATTTTTAGCTGTGCCTGCGATTCTGATTCACACACACGGCTCTGACTGTCGCCGAGGTAGGCCCTCTGGCGACGTGCATCTGTCTCTGAGAACAGTTGACTTTGCCAGAAGTTCAGCGGATATCTGACACGGAACCCCCCCCTTGCCTCCCACTGCATACACACACCTACACCCAACCCGTACCCTGAGAAACCCACCTGTCACCGGATCTATCCTGACCCCTGAACTCTACATCAGCCCCCTCACCCCCTCAATAGTCTGGGGGGGGGGGGGGGGGGTGTAGAGGCAGGCCTATGGGATACAGTCAAGGCTTACTTTACTCTGATATTTGACTAGAGCCATTTTAGTTAGTCTTGGTGTGTTTAAGTTGTTTGTGTTATGTTATGCCAGTAATTAGCATGTTATGATCTTTCATCATGTTCTATAATAATGATCATAAGTGGATTACAAGCATGTCATTGTATTATTGTAGCTTTATTGTTACATTCTACCGGTATGTAATGTTATTTATAAAGGCTTTTATGAATGACAACATTCGACTGATATAAAAAATGTTCTTATACACATCCGTTTTCTTTTAATGAGATGATACAATAACTTGATTTTAGTATTTAACCTCAAATAGCCATTAGGGTCTGCACTGTGAAGATGGTTCCAGGAAGTGCAGTAAGTTTATGTGATGACACACAGGAAGCACCTGTGTTATTGAACAACTGGGAGCTCAGAACACGCCAATTTCCAACTTTAGTGCGTTCAAAAACATCTGGGAACAAATTGATTTGAACGGTTATCCAACTCAGAATTCCAACACGGGAACTTGAGCCTCTTTCTAGAGCTCTGACTTTCTGACCTGAAGATGACTGACATCATGATTTGACCTCGTATTTTTCAGAGTTCCCAATTGTTTGGAACACGGCATACAGTGCATTCGGAAAGTATTCAGACCCCTTGACTTTTTCCACATTTTGTTACGTTACAGCCTTATTCAAAAATGTATTAAATAAATGTTTTTCCTCATCAATCTACACACACTAGCCCATAATGACAAAGCGAAAACTGTTTTTTAGAATTTATCAAATGTATTGAAAATAAAAAACAGAAATACCTTATTTGCATAAGAAATTGAGCTCAGGTGCATCCTGTTTCCATTGATCATCCTTGAGATATTTTTACAACTTGATTGGAGTCCACCTGTGGTAAATTCAATTGTTTGGACATGATTCGGAAAGGCACACACCTGTCTATTTAAGATCCCACAGCTGACAGTGCAAGTCAGAGCAAAAACCAAGCCATGAGGTCAGAGGAATTGTCCGTAGATTGTGTCGAGGCACAGATCTGGGGAAGGGTACCAAAAAAAATGTCTACAGCATTGAAGGTCCCGAAGAACACAGTGGCCTCCATCATTCTTAAATGAAATTAGTTTGGAACCACCAAGACTCTTCCTAGAGCTGGCCACTCGGCCAAAATGAGCAATCGGGGGAGAAGGGCCTTGGTCAGGGAGGTGACCAAGAACCCGATGGTCACTCTAACAAAGCTCTTCTGTGGAGATGGGAGAACCTTCCAGAAGGACAACCATCTCTGCAGCACTCCATCAGGCCTTTATGGTAGAGTGGCCAGACGGAAGCCACTTCTCAGTAAAAGGCACATGAAATCCCGTTTGGAGTTTGCCAAAAGGCACCTAAAGGACTTTTAGACCATGAGAAACAAGATTCTCTGTTCTGATGAAACCAAGACTGAACTCTTTGAGCTGAATGCCAAGCGTCACGTCTGGAGGAAACCTGGCACCATCCCTACAGGGAAGCATGGTGGTGGCAGCATCATGCTGTGGGGATGTTTTTCAGCGGCAGGGACTGGGAGACTAGTCAGGATCGAGGTAAAGATGAACGGAGCAAAGTACAGAGAGATCCTTGATGAAAACCTGCTCCAGAGCGCTCAAGATCTCAGACTGGGGCGAATGTTCACCTTCCAACAGGACAACGACCCTAAGCACACAGCCAAGACAACGCAGGTGTGGCTTCGGGACAAGTCTCTGAATGTCCTTGAGTGGCCCAGCCAGAGCCTGGACTTGAACCCGATCGAACATCTCTGGAGAGACCTGAAAATAGCTGTGCAGGGACGCTCCCCATCCAACCTGACAGAGCTTGAGAGGATCTGCAGAGAAGAATGGGAGAAACTCCCCAAATACAGGTGAGCCAAGCTTGTAGCGTCATACCCAAGAAGACGAGGCTGTAATCACTGCCAAAGGATGAAGATACAGTAACTTTTCAGCCACCCTATTGGCCCGGTTATATTTCTGCCCCTAGTTTCTTCCCCCAGCTAGAATTCCGTTCAGGATGGACTTCATTTATTTTATTTTAACCTTTATTTAACTAGGCAAGTCAGTTAAAAACAAATTCTTATTTACAATGACGGCCTACACCGGCCAAACCCTGACGACGCTGGGCCAATTGTGCGCCGCCCTATGGGACTCCCAATCACGGCCGGTTGTGATACAGCCTGGAATCGAACCAGGGGGTCTGTGGTGACGCCTCTAGCACTGAGATGCAGTGCCTTAGACCGCTGCGCCACTCGGGAGCCCCCTCATAGGAGGGATAGGTACTGAAAAAAGGAATGGAGCCAGGCCCCCCATAACGGTTCATTTCCAGCTACTATATTCTCCGGCCTACTGTGTCCTAAGACTGCCATAGGAGTTGAATCAGTTCTCAGTCAAGTCTCCGCGTTCGTTTTGCTGATAGTGGTGAGAGTGGTGGTTTACCAATGACATACAGGGAAATAAAAACAGGAGCAAATAAGAGCTGATAGTAGCTGTTTCGTTTAGTAGTTTGCGGATGATGGAGGTATTTTATGTGTAATCATTCCCTATTTGAGAAGTAATAATATTATACCAATGAATTGGCGTGTGTTCACAAAATTCTTGGCAAAAATTTACTCATGAACCTGACTTCATCAGTCTTTGAAAAATGAATTGACAGCCATATCTAAATACTGTTCTCTGTTGCTCAAAAACAGTGTCAAGTAAACATTTTAACATCTTTGCTTTATAAAATTCAAAGTAACATTCAGCCACTCAAAAATCATAAAAAATCATGGAAATACATTAGCCAGGCATGCAGAAGTAAACATTTTTGTTGTTGTTGACAATTGATGTATAACAGAAAGCACACATTTGGAATCTTCTACATTATACAGTGCAGTGTTCTCTCACCCTCTCCTCATCTTCCTCCACAATTGACCCTTCACTACGCCCGCCCCCCTTGGTTACGGTTGCAATATCGGAAAACATTTTCCAGGGAAGCGCAATTCCCCATTCAACCACTGGTGAAATCCACTCACAATGATCTCAAACTGAGTTTTCTAATACCCAATTAAATTAAACACTGACTACTCCTTGCTAATCAGGAAACTCTTGGGTATGTTGTGGTGGACTGTCATTACAATTACTTCCCGGGAATCTGGTAAAATGATGTTTGTAGTGTAGCTAGCCAGTAAATGGCTCTGAATTCACTGTCAGCATGCAGTCAAAACTATAACCACTTTTGGAGCTAACTAGTGCTCAGAAATTGCAGCCCAAATAAATGCTTCACAGAGTTCAAGTAACAGACACATCTCAACATCAACTGTTCAGAGGAAACTGTGTGAATCAGGTCTTCATGGTCGAATTGCTGCAAAGAACCCACTACTAAAGGACACCAATAATAAGAAGAGACTTGCTTGGGCCAAGAAACACGAGCAATGGACATTAGACTGGTGGAAATATGTCCCTTGGTCTGAGGAGTCCAAATTTGACATTTTTGGTTCCAACCACCGTGTCTTTGTGAGACGCAGAGTAGGTGAACGGATTATCTCCACGTGTGGTTCACACCGTAAAGCAGGTGTGATGGTGTGGGGGTCCTTTGCTGGTGACACTGTCTGTGATTTATTTAGAATTCAAGGCACACTTAACCAGCATGGCTACCATAGCATTCTGCAGCGATACGTCATCCCATCTGATTTGCGCTTAGTGGGATCATTTGTTTTTCAACAGGACAATGACCCAACACACCTCCAGGCTGTGTAAGGGCTATTTGACCAAGAAGGAGAGTGATGGAGTGCTGCATCAGATGACCTGGCCTCTATAATCACCCGACCTCAAACCAATTGAGATGGTTTGGGATGAGTTGGACCGCAGAGTGAAGGAAAAGCTGCCAACAAGTGCTCAGCATATGTGGGAACTCCTTCAAGGACTGTTGGAAAAGCATTCCAGGTGAAGCTGGTTGAGAGGATGCCAAGAGTGTGCAAAGCTGTCATCAAGGCAAAGGGTGGCTAGTTTGAAGAATCTAAAATATATTTTGAACACTTTTTTGGTTACTACATGATTCCATGTGTTATTTCATAGTTTTGATGTCTTCACTATTATTCTACAATGTAGAAAATAGTAAAAATAGAGAAAAACCCTTGAATGAGTAGGTGTGTCCAAACTTGACTGGTACTGTACATTTGAAGGTGAACAAATCAAAGATGATGAATGCAACAGCACTGCATGATTACGACTGAGGGATTTTGCCAAGTGCTGTGTTTCCTCAAGGTTAGAAAAGATGCACCAGTAACCTCAACATACCACATTAGAAATGCCCAAAATGCCCTCCCATCTAATTCTGATCTGGTTATTGTGATAGCTTAACTACTTGACTCCTGAGCGGCACTGTCTAAGGCACTGCATCGCAGTGCTAACTGTGCCACTAGAGATCCTGGTTCAAATCCAGGCTCTGTCGCAGCCGGCCGCGACCGGGAGACTCATGGGGCGGCGCGCAATTGGTCCAGGGTAGGGGAGGGAATGGCCGGCAGGGATGTAGCTCAGTTGATAGAGCATGGCGTTTGCAACGCCAGGGTTGTGGGTTCGATTCCCACGGGGGGCCAGTATAAAAAGATATGTATTCACTAACTGTAAGTCGCTCTGGATAAGAGCGTCTGCTAAATGACGTAAATGTAAAATGTTGACAATAGCACTGGCCCCCCCGTGGATTTGCAGTGCCTTTATGTGTCTACATCTCAAAACCTTAGTGTGGCCTTGTCTCCCTCACTGATCGGAATAAAACTGCCACACGTGATAACATACCCCAGGTGGCCTCTGCCACACGTGATAACATACCCCAGGTGGCCTCTGCCACACGTGATAACATACCCCAGGTGGCCTCTGCCACACGTGATAACATACCCCAGGTGGCCTCTGCCACACGTGATAACATACCCCAGGTGGCCTCCCAGGGCCTGTATCCACAAAGTGTCTCAGAGTAGAAGTGCTGATCTAGGTTTAGATCCTCACCTGTCCATATATCTTATTTATTATGATCTAAAAAGGCAAAACTGGTCCTAGATCAGCCCTCTGAGACGTTTTGTGGCTACGGGTCCCGATCCAAGCAGATAAAGTAAAGGAGACAAGGAGATGTAACCACTTTAGGCAACAGAGTTTTATCCTATGTGATATTGGCCAATCTCCTTTCCCTGCTATTCCTGTTGCAGGTTAAGCTGTAGCGCCCTCTGCTGGCAGGGCTCAATTCAATGTTGAGAAATAATTCCATGTCAGGGGGGAACCTATTTGCTTACACAGGGTTCCGGGGTCAAGGAATAAAACCCTGTTTGATGTTGCACAGGAATCTGTGTCAGAGGGACTATTTGATGTTGCACATGTCCAGATCAGTGACGTCCCAGTTCAATAATGGACATAGTTGTGCCAGTCGGGGGGGGGGGGGGGGGGGGGGGGGGACCCTATTTGATGTTGCGCAGGATCCTGCGGCAATGGGTGGTCTTGAGCTCAGCCAGGGCTTTCTCCAGCTCCTGGATGAGGTGCATCAGGGTGGCAGGGTCAGTCTGTAGCACCTTAACACTCTTCTCACCTCCACTCTCCCCCAGGTGCAGCTTCATACTCACTGTAGGCTTCATCTGCTGTCGGAGGGCACGACTGGCCAGCTAGTGGAGAGAGATGGGAGAGGGGATTATTTTTTTTAACAAACTGAATTGATGTACCATCAAAGAGAGAGACACAGAAAGACTCTACTCACATACACACACACAGGGTTGCCAGGTTTAACTAGCCAGAGAGGAATCGCCACATTTATCCAAGAAACCCTTTTCCCCATGACGTTATCGGGCCAAGTAGGAAGGAATATCGACGTAACTTGTAATGACTTTAGAAGCAACATTTGGTTTTCGTCAAAATAATAATTATTTGCGAGCTAGGTGACGTAATAAAGGAATTTGAATATGTCGCAAGAATACTTGGATACAGCTGTTAGCCTTGGTATATTGGCCATATACCACAAACCCCCAAGGTGCCTTATTGCTATTATAAAACTAGTTACCAACGTAATTAGAACAGTAAAAAGTTTGCCATACCCATGGTATACAATCTGATATAAACACGGCTTTCTGTCAAATCAGCATTCCGGGCTCGAACCCGGTTTATAATTGTAAATATATCCTTTTGCGCCTAACTATAGATAAATCTAACAGGAGTTTGAGTGATGAAAGTTGGACAGAGGACCTCCAAATCTCTGTGCAAGAAACACTTGAACGAACTTCAAAAAACAATGTGAACCGTTACCGTCAATCTAATGCGCTCTAACAACTGATCAGCAATTGTGATAGAGCGGTGCAACTTAGAAGTAGGACAAATACCCAATACATTTTCACCCGCGACATCGTTGTCAAAGTAGCCCAATTTGGCAGGGAAACCGCAGACATAGCAACCCTGCACACACACAAAGAGACAGGCAGGCAGACAGAGAGACAGGCAGGCAGACAGAGAGACAGGCAGACAGAGAGACAGGCAGGCAGACAGAAGACAGGCAGGCAGACAGAGAAACAGGCAGGCAGACCGAGAGACAGGCAGGCAGACAGAGAGACAGGCAGACAGAGAGAGAGACAGGCAGGCAGACAGACAGACAGACCAATAAACGGACAACACAGTACCAGCACATCCAGCCTCCACTCCAGGTTGTGGTAGTGTGGCAGTGAGGGGGTGAGTTCACTGAGGATGTGTCGGATCTCCTTCCTGTGGTCCAGGTAGAGCTGCAGCAGCAGCTGGTTCAGCTCCTCGGTGAAGCCCAGCACCAGCACTGAGTCCTGAAAGTCCACCTCAGAGATCTAAAAACACATACACAGGGCAGAGGACAGGCTTAACGTGGCAGTTCATTCCAAACTCAAAAAGGACCGGTTTTTTTTCCCGGACTCTTCCGAAAGCGGCCTCAAAATGAGCGTGCTAGGTAGAGAGAGTAAAGTCAGTGAGTGTGCCATCTGTTAGAACAGTAAAAAGTTTGCCATACCCATGGTATACAATCTGATATAACACGGCTTTCAGTCAAATCAGCATTCCGGGCTCGAACCCGGTTTATAATTGTAAATAAATCATTTTGCGCCTAACTATTTTCCTGTTGAAGGGTACAGGCTCCATGTACCCACTCACCATGAGTTTGGAGCTCTCGGTGAGCAGGTACATGATCCCCTCCACGCCATGCTGTACGGTCTCTGCGTCAACACTCAGCTTCCCTGAAGGACACAGTGAGGAAGGGAAACTAGTTAGCTACAAGTCTACCACGTAAAAAACGTATCGGACAATAAAATGGAATGACAGCTTTGCATTGATAAAATGTTTTGTAGGAAGAATTATGCAAGCTTGGAAACTGATACTTACTGGCAGCCCCCTCATAGATCTTAGGGTTTGTTCCCTTTCGCAGGAACTCGACCGCTATTCGTCCAAATTCACCAACCACTGATGAAGAAAAACAAGGAATGTTAGCTTTCAAACTAGTGGCAATGGTCCTGTGACTCCTGTCCAGAGATAACCCTTGCCTGGGCAGCCGCTAGTGGGCTTTAAAGTCAAGATCCATAAAGCCCACTAGTGGCTGCCCAGGCTACCCTAGCACTAGCCCAACACTGGACTAAAAGAGCCTAACGTTACTCCTTATTGTCCAAGGACCTGTGGAAGCCAAAACAGCCAAATACTCCGTCTAAACGTGAATCGATTCTCAATTGCGGTACGGTTCTAGAAACATAGACTCCTTAACTTTCATATCACATAAAAATATAAAGTCAGTGTATTTTTCAGTGACAACACGTTTGTGACGTCCATCTTCCGTTAACACGCAGGTGTTCGGAGACGCAGATAGCTAATTAGCACAGGTCATCCACTCGGTCTGTAACATGGAAATATGGACGTGGGGGAGCCCTAACCCTATAAAAAGGTGTGTAGTAATGTTTTTAGAAAATTATTTCTCGCTGATATGAAAGATACGTTCCTTACGTTTCCAAAGCCGTACCACAAGCGAGGCGTGTTAATATTTGGAGCAAGAGTCGGCCCTGGTCAGAAGATATTATAGTCAATAGACTCTAACACAGTTAGCGTCTATGAATGGGGTACCATAGCACCTATCCCGCCTAGGGATATATATGAGCACTCCCTTGCCCTCTGATAGTCTAAGTGAAATTTTCGCCATATTGCTATACCCATCAGTCATTTCAGATCCATTCAAGGGGTATGGTTGTTTCTGGACAGGCACTGGTAGCCAGAAGTAGCTAGCTAGAATAACATCTTGACAAAAGACAGGACAATCTATGAATCTATGTTGTATCAAGACTCATATATAATGTCGCACTGTATTCGCTGGTTTAATAACTTGAACACACTAATGAATCTAGCGTTGATTTAGTTAGTCTAATGACAGCTGGTAACGTTTGCTAGCTAGCTAGCTGTCATGCTAACAGTCATATTTACCCGCAGAGTCCACCTCTGGCAGAAACCCCAGGTGCTCCTTATGTTCATCAGATAACACCAACAGCATTATTATAAATTATAGTCTAACGCTTATTGTGCAAAGTCGACAAATGTACCTACTACAGAATGAAACGTTGACTTCTATCAGTTAGCTAGCTAGGCTGATCAAAATCACATGACCACCAGGATCCAGTTCTACAGGGGGGTGGTGCTTATATTTGTCCTGTTACGAGTGTTTAACGGAAATGGTTTTTTCTATGGTCATTTAATATCCCAACTCGGTCACGGCCAGGGTCACTATTGACAAGTTAAGTGCCTTGCTCAAGGGCACAGCAACAGATTATAATTTTTTCCACCTCGGTTACTAACCTCGAGGCTACCTGCCCCCAGTGCAACCGCAGAAGGACATTGTAATGTCATGGGTGTTGAAATTAAGTTGTCGAAATGATCACTACTCTCTCTGGTATTCATCACAATAGGCCACACTATCACCAGGCACTTGAGGGGCCTTAATATGAGACATATTTCAAATTTCTGTCATCTTAAACAGGATAACAACCTAGGCATTCCAACCTTGTGATGTCTGGAGGCTGAAGAAAACACTGCTTTCAAGTAGGCTACGTACATGTCTACACGTACATTTTTACACTTTTTTCTAGAACTTTCTATAAGTTGTACTGTACCACACTCTTGCTGTGCATACAATTTATATATATTTTTTTTTAAAGAGTAACTGGAATTAACAATTTGTCCATTGTGCAGTCAGCAGCACCGAGGAACTATAATAAACATAATTCTGAACAGATGGGTGAATGAACATAAACATAACATTTACACGTTCCATTCTTACTTTACATCTCCCTTTACTCGGTTACAGATTTTGTCAGTAATGTGTTATCAGCAAAGGACATGAACCGAAAGTAGCTAGTCGAATTTAGCTAGTCAATCAAGCAACTCTAGCCCAGACGGTTTTATTTCCAAAATAAAAGTCGAGCTTGTTTTAGAACTGCATTCAATAATGACGTTATACCAGTAGATGACCTAGTATACATTTTAGTCATTTAGCAGAAGCTCTTATCCAGAGCGACTTACAGTTAGTGAGTGCATACATTTTCCATACTGGCCCCCCGTGGAAATCGAACCCACAACCCTGGCGTTGCAAGCGCCATGCTCTACCAACTGAGCTACAGGAGGCTTGGGCCTTCATCAAATGACTTGTGTGAGAATGATAAAGACACAGAAGAGCCTTGTCTAGAATAACCGCCTGAGCTGCAAAATAGAAAGTAAATATGATTTAGGCTATGCTTATTCCGCTATCTAAATATGCCATGCTGTTGTGTGTTATTTAATGGCCATATAATTGCATAATTTATCCAATATTTGCATCACGAAAATGAATCGCCAAAATACAATCTGGAAAATTATTATTAATGGTATGTTGATAGTAAATGTAGCAATTATATGACATGAGAACAATATTCCCACCTCTTTCATTGTGAATAATTACATTTAGCCCATATTTTTGATGAAGAATGTTAATAAACTCACTGGTTTGCGACCACAAAACCAACCAAAATAGTGCAGCTAATAGCTCCATATTTAAAATACTGTGATTGAAGAAAAATTGTGAAGTTGGTAAAACGCCAGGGTTGTGGGTTCGATTCCCACGGGGGGCCAGTATAAAAAAATAATGTATACACTCACTAACTGTAAGTCGCTCTGGATAAGAGCGTCTACTAAAATGTAAATTTAACGTTTTTTCAAGTTCATTATCATTTCTACACACTTTCTACCTGGTTTAAGTCGTTTATGTAAAGACGAGTATTTTTTAATTAAAAAAATATATACCGGTACATGTTTTTTTGACTCAGACACCCACAACCCATTCAAAACCTCCTGCGACCAACCAGTTGAGAATCGTTGAGCTAGACAGTCAGGGAGCATCGAAAATTGTAAACACGACGGGGAGAGAGAGAGAGAGGACATTTTCTTAAAATTTTTGACGGCAATGAAATTTAACACATTTTCTGTGCGGCGCGCCGGACCTCTCTGAAGACCAAATGTGGCCCACGGGACAAAATGAGTTCTAATGTACTGTCTTTGGCAGTAGTGCTGTACCCTGGTCGACTCTCCGCGTCGGGTGCCATTGAAGCTCAATTGGTAGAGCATGGCGCTTGTAACGCCAGGGTAGTGGGTTCGATCCCCGGGACCACCCATACGTAAAAATGTATGTACACATGACTGTAAGTCGCTTTGGATAAAAGCGTCTGCTAAATGGCATATTATTATTAATATTTAGTGGGCTGGCCTAGTGTCTTCGGGATTTCCAACCGGGCCAGTCTCAGGTCCTCATGACCTTGTAGTCTACTGCCTCCATGTGGGCTCAACGTGTATGGCAACAGACAAATATGAATAACACAATAGTTTTTGTAGTTTTAAACCTCAATTTGTGATGGATTGCAAATATCTGCAAAATAACAAGTATTACAGAAACGGCTGTCATATAAAATGTAATCTCTAGACAAAATTACACTCATCCTACAGAACTACAGCTGCGCATACCTTTTCCTACTTATACTGAACAAAAATATAAACGCAACATGCAACAATTAACGATTTTACTGAGTTACAGTTCATATGAGGAAATCAGTCAATTGAAATAAATTCATTAGGCCCTAATCTATGGATTTCACATGACTGGGCAGGGGCGGAGCCATGGGTGGGCATAGGCCCACCCACTTGGGAGCCAGGTCCTGCCAATCAGAATTACTTTTTCCCCACAAAAGGGCTTTATTACAGACAGAAATACTCCTCAGTTTCATCAGTTGTTCAGGTTGGCTGGTCTCAGGCGAAGAAGCCGAATGTGGAGGTCCTGGGCTGGCGTGGTTACACGTGGTCTGCGCTTGTGAGGCTGGTTGGATGTACTGTCAAATTCTCTAAAACAACGTTGGAGGTGGCTTATGGTAGAGAAATAAACATTAAGTTCTCTTGCAACAGCTCTGTTGGACATTCCTGTAGTCAGCATGCCAATTGCGCGCTCCCTCAAAACTTGAGACATCTGTGGCATTGTGTTGTGTAACAAAACTGCACATTTTAGAGTGGCCTTTTATTGTCCCCAGCACAAAGTGAATATTTGTAATGATCATGCTGTTTAATCAGCTTCTTGATATGCCACACCTGTCAGGTGGATGGATTATCTTGGAAAAGGAGAAATGCTCACTAACAGGGATGTAAACTAATTTGTGATTTTTTTTTCTTCCCATTTCAGTTGCAATGTTGCATACACACACACACACACACACACACACACACACACACACATATACAGTTGAAGTCAGGAGTTTACATACACATAGGTTGGAGTCGTTTTTCAACCACTCCACAAATTTCTTTAAAAAAAACGATTGTTTTGGCAAGTCGGTTAGGACATCTACTTTGTGCATGACACAAGTCATTTTTTCCAACAATTATTTACAGATTATTTCACTGTATCACAATTCCAGTGGGTCAGAAGTTTACATACACTAAATTGACTGTGCCTTTAAACAGCTTGGAAAATTCCGGAAAATGATGTCATGGCTTTAGAAGCTTCTGATAGGCTAATTGACATAATTTGAGTCAATTGGAGGTGTACCTGTGGATGTATTTCAAGGCCTACCTTCCAACTCAGTGCCTCTTAGCTTGACATCATGGGAAAAATCAAAAGAAATCAGTCAAGCCCTCAGAAAATAATTGTAGACCTCCACACGTCTGGTTCATCCTTGGGAGCAATTTCCAAACGCCTGAAGGTACCACATTCATCTGTACAAACAATAGTACGCTAGTATAAACACCATGGGACCACGCAGCCGTCATACCGCTCAGGAGGGAGACGCGTTCTGTCTCCTAGAGATTAACTTATCCCAGAACAACAGCAAAGGACCCTGTGAAGATGCTGGAGGAAACAGATACACAAATATCTATATTCACAGTAAAATTAGTCCTATATCGACATAACCTGAAAGGACGCTCAGCAAGGAAGAAGCCACTGCTCCAAAACCGCCATAGAAAAACCAGACTACGGTTTGCAACTGCACATGGAGACAAAGATCGTACTTTTTGGAGAAATGTCCTCTGGTCTGATGAAACAAAAATAGAACTGTTTGGCCATAATGACCATCGTTATGTTTGGAGGAAAAACGGGGACACTTGCAAGCCGAAGAACACCATCCCAACCGTGAAGCACGGGGGTGGCAGCATCATGCTGTGGGGGTGCTTTGCTGCAGCAGGGACTGGTGCACTTCACAAAATACATGGCATCATGAGGAAGGAAAATTATGTGGATTATTTGAAGCAACATCTCAAGACATCAGTCAGGAAGTTAAAGCTTGGTCGCAAATGGGTCTTCCAAATGGACAATGCATACTTCCAAAGTTGTGGCAAAATGGCTTAAGGACAACAAAGTCAAGGTATTGGAGTGGCCATCACAAAGCCCTGACCTCAATCCTATAGAAAATGTGTGGGCAGAACTGAAAAAGCGTGTGCGAGCAAGGAGGCTGCAAACCTGACTCAGTTACACCAGCTCTGTCAGGAGGAATGGGCCAAAATTCACCCAACTTATTGTGGGAAGCTTGTGGAAGGCTACCCGAAACGTTTGACCCAAGTTAAATTTTTTTAAAGGCAATGCTACCAAATACTAATTGAGTGTATGTAAACTTCTGACCCACTGGGAATGTGATGAAATAAATAAAAGCTGAACAAATCATTCTCTCTACTATTATTCTGACATTTCATTCTTAAAATAAAGTGGTGATCCTAACTGACCTAAAACAGGGAATATTTACTTGGATTAAATGTCAGGAATTGTGAAAAACTGAGGTTAAATGTATTTGGCTAAGGTGTATGTAAACTTCCGACTTCAACTGTATATAGTACCAGTAAAAAGTTTGGACACCTACTCATTCAAGGGTTTATTTTTACATTGTAGAATAATAGTGAAGACATCAAAACTATGAACTAACACACAAGGAATCATGTAGTAACCCAAAAAGTGTTAAACAAATCAAAATATATTTTATATTTGAGATTCTTCAAAGTAGCCACCATTTGCCTTGACAGCTTTGCACACGCTTGGCATTCTCTCAACCAGCTTCATGAGGTAGTCACCTGGAACGCATTTCAATTAACAGGTGTGCGTTCTTAAAAGTTAAGTTGTTGAGCCAATCAGTTGTGTTGTGACAAGGTATGGGGGTATACAGAAGATGGTCTTTTACCAAATAGGGCTAAGTCCATATTATGGCAAGAACAGCTCAAATAAGCAGAGAAACGACAGTCCATCATTACTTTAAGACATGAAGGTCAGTCAATCAGGAAAATGTCAAGAACTTTGAACGTTTCTTCAAGTACAGTCGCAAAAACCATCAATCTTTATGATGATTCCACAGGAATGGAAGACCCAGAGTTACCTCTACTGCAGAGGATAAGTTCATTAGAGTTACCAGCCTCAGAAATTGCAGCCCAAATAAATGCTTCAGAGGGGACTGCGTGAATCAGGCCTTCATGGTCGAATTGCTGCAAAGAAACCACTACTAAAAAGACACCAATAAGAAGAGACTTGCTTGGGCCAATAAACACGAGCAATGGACATTAGACCAGTGGAAATCTGTCCTTTGGTCTGATGAGTCCAAATTTGAGATTTTTGGTTCTAACCGCCGTGTCTTTGTGAGAAGCAGAGTAGGTGAACGGATGATCTCCGCATGTGTGGCTCCCATCGTGAAGCATGGAGGTGGTGTGATGGTGCTTTGCTGGTGACACCGTCAGTGATTTATTTAGAATTCAAGGCACACTTAACCAGCATGGCAACCACAGCGATATGCCATCCCATCTGGTTTGCGTTTAGTGGGACTATCATTTGTTTTTCAACAGGACAATGACCCAAAACACACCTCCAGGCTGTGTAAGGGCTATTTGACCAAGGAGAGTGATGGAGTGCTGCATCAGATGACCTGGCCTCCACAATCACCCAACCTCAACCCAATTGAGATGGTTTGGGATGAGTTGGACCGCGGAGTGAAGGAAAAGCTGCCAACAAGTGCTCAGCATATGTGGGAACTCCTTCAAGGACTGTTGGAAAAGCATTCCAGGTGAAGCTGGTTGAGAGAATGCAAAGCTGTCAAGGCAAAAGGTGGCTACTTTGAAGAAACTCATATCAAATATATTTTGATTTGTTTAACACTTTTTTGGTTACTACATGATTCCATATGTGTTATTTCATAGTTTGTCTTCACTATTATTCTACAATGTAGAAAATAGTAAAAATAAATAAAACCCTTGAATGAGCTGGTGTCCAAACCTTTGACTGGTACTGTATATATACCATAAGGTCTACACACACACACCATGTATTTATATTCCGGACTGGAATTGCTAGTTCTGATATTTCTTAATTTCTTGTTTCTCCTTTCTCCTATTTGTGTTAGTATTGTACAGTTAAAAATGTACTGTATTGCTGGAGCTAGAAACAAGCATTTCACCGCACCTGCTTTAACATCTGCTAATCTTTGTTTGAAACAAATAAACTTTGATTTGATGTAATTACCGTGTTACTACACTTCCTAGAGTGGGACTGATGACAGAATACAACCCAGTTAGCGGTTGTGTGGTATTTTCCAAATGGTAGTGTTTCACTTAGTACTTTCTCTTTGATATATGGCACTTGAGTCAGAATAATTAGACTATTAATATGGAAAACATTTATTATGATTTATGTATACAAAAAAAATATTTCAAATTGTAAATGTAATAATCAATAGCAGTAAGACAAACACATTTTGGCATGCGCCCTCCCTACATCCCACCCCTACAAGTCCTCTTAGAGTAATAAAGTTTAGGGTTTTATCTCCACTTTTGACCCAAATATTTAAATTCACAAATGTTTAGTATGGCTCAAATGACTAAACCATGCTCTCCCATGTATACTGCATTTCCTCATTGTCAATGTCAGTCCTTACCACCTCTATATTACAGTTAAAAGGACTACTAACAATATTCTTAGCTTCTCCCACTGGCTTAACAAATCCCAGCATCTAATGTGGTAAGGAGTGAACACTGAAAACCTTGCCCTGAAAAAGCTGTGGTATCTCACATTTCACTTGCTGCTACGTCTGTAACATAGAACCTGATAATTTGGCAGTACTGTGAATACATACTGACATCATTGACTAACATTAGTAGTAGTACTGTGTACTAACAGTAATGTGTGTATAAAACCAACAGTGCATGAAACTAAAAGCTGTCAAGAAACCTAAAGTAAAATCACCAGTAGTGGTGGTGCAACTTCTATAGAAAACACTAATTAGTAAAATGATCGTCACAGTTCAATCATGATTTTTAAAAAAAATAGTCTGGATACCCTGTCCAGCTACCAATCTTCAGTTCAATGGAAACGCATGCATCAATACAAAACATTGTTGCAACATTATTTCCATGTCTTTCGGTTAACGTGATTATTTAAAAAAATGGCAAAAAGCTCTGCCTGATGCATAGCCATGCATTTATTCTATAGACATGAATTTTGCTAATTTAAATTTGGAGAATTAACACTTTATAGTCAAATGAAAAATAGCTCTGCCATTTAGACCCAAACTTGATCCATCTAAAAAGAGAACTTGAAAAAACAACATGTAAACAAAAGTAATTACAATAATCCTATCTAAATAATAATAATAATCAAATGATGCAAAGCACTGCATTCAAAAGACATACAAAAAAATTATGTTTCCCAGGCCAATATTAAAACTATAAAAGTCAAAGCAACATTGCATCTGTTTTTGGTTAAAAAAAATTTATAGTCACGATTATTGATAAAGTGAAAATCAATAATCCAATCCAATTGCTCCTTCCTTCCAATTTCAAAGCCATGTAAAGCGTTAACACTGCTTGTGTAGTATAACTACTTCACCACTGAGATGCTAAAGCAGACAGCCACGTGAAGAATGGAAAATCAATGAGGTTTATAAGTGTTCAAATCCTGAGGTCTTCATAAAAGGGGTGTCTCACTCAAATTACAAAATTACATATTGTTTTCCTTACTCTGTAAGCAGTCCATGGACAAGGTACTGTATGTAATTTTGTAATTTGGGTTAACTATCCCTTTAACGTAGAGAACGTCTACAACAAGTAGCTGTGTGGGACGGGAGTTGAGACAACAGATCCCTGCACACGTCCAAGCAAACTGCCATTGGAATCTGTTTCAATTCTATTTAGAAAATCCAAACTGCACCCTGTCCATCTTCATGAAAGGCAGATTCTCACCAATTACATCTCATATTGCTGACTTGAAGTAGCAAGACTACCTTTCATTCTAGGCACAACCATACATTCAGTAGGTGCAAAAGGTAGAAAAGTTAATCTGGTTTAGTTTTTAGCAGAATCCCTGCCATTAAATCTTAGTCACATTTAAATATGCCCACTGTAGTTCTTAGTCTACTTGTCTGAGAAACATAATTTTAAAAATATTCATGATTTATCACGACAACAGGGTGGAAATGTTCATCTGTTGGGGTTCAGTCACTGTTTATACCAGTACACACCTGATTTAACTTGTCAACTAATCATCAAGCCCTCAATGAGTTGAATCAGGTGAGTTTGTCTGGGGCAAAACATTTTTGCTGTTGGGGGTACTCGAGGAGTTGGGAAACACTGCTTTATATGATTGCATGTCATGTTCTATTGTAACTCATCTTTGGCCTCATTATAATCGCCATCTGATGTAATTACCTCCAAAACATAAAAGCACCTTTGTGAGAAAGAGCAAAGTCCAAATCTATATTTCATTTCGTTGAAGATTTGAACAATTTCCAATTATACCATTTTAGGCATAAGTGCATTTTAAAAAATATATACCAATCCATTTAGTAGAATACGTAATCCTGGCATTTCCATCCTGTTGCTGTGATTTGCCAGTCTAAAGCCAGTACATGAGCTAAGTAACAGCTGTCAGTTACAATCTACTACACATTTAAGGAACCAAAGATCACATCCACTCTGCCACTACGCTCCAGCCTGGAATGGAATCCACACTGAATAGTGCTCAGTTTCATAATAATAATAAGCCATTTAGCAGACACTTTTATCCAAAGCGACTAAGTCATGCGTGCATACATTGTTTTTACGTATGGGTGGTCCCGGGAATCGAACCCACTATCCTGGTGTCGCAAGTGCTATGCTCTACCAATCGAGCATCATAGGATCATGTTGTTGTGAAATGAAACGATGTTCAGTGTGGAACGGATTCCAGGCTGGCTATTCTCCCCAAACTCCTTTTCGCCCTCTACTGCCTTCGATGGTGACAAGTTCATCAAATGAGCAATCGATTAAAAATGCCACCATGGATAACTATGGCTCCCAAAAACATTCTACAATAAAGCGTATCCCATACACACAGTGAAGTCCTTTCTGGCTGGACATCAGCAAGCCTAATGCCAGTGTCCTCCGGTCCCGGGGACTACTCTCAATGATTCATGTAGATTAAGGGGAATGTGGGATCCTGTGCTGAAGGAACAATCATTATTCTTTAAATCCAGAAGACTTCCAGCTGTCTGACTGTCTTACTCAACATGATGGGGGGGGGGGGGGGGGTGTAACTAACTTCTTAGTGAATTCAGTCCTAAACTCACTGCCGAAATAGTTTCATTTCGTCATGATTACCTGGATGTTAAAAACGGAGTCTTAAAAATATGGGCAGGCTCTTACCTTGTCTTATAAGATAAAAAAATATTAAGAACACAAGACAGAATTATACAAAAACATTTGAGTGGCTGTAGAAAAACAGAAGCAGAATTTGTAGGAAAACAAACTCAAGAATGGGGGACTTCTTCACATGATTGAACATTCCCTGGAAGAGGCCTTTTCTCCCTGGAAGGAAACAAGGGTAAGATGTGAGACAAAACAATGCACCACTAAATGAATACTAGATGTTACAGCCATCTTAATCTAGTATAGGCACTCAGTGTGTTTTTATGTAGAAGGACTGAGAAGCTCAGTTACATTTACATTTTAGTCATTTAGCAGACGCCCTTATCCAGAGTGACTTACAGGAGCAATTAGGGTTAAGTGCCTTGCTCAAGGGCACAGACAGATTTTTCACTTAGTCTGCTCGGGGATTAGAACCAGCGACCTTTCGGTTACTGGCACAACGCTCTTAACCACTAAGCTACCTGCCGCCCTGGTGACATTCTACTCCAAACCGAATGAAAATAAAATTACGCTGACACCCTCTAAAATATAATTTCCACCTCCAGAAACGAGCCCAATAACATATTGGTAAGAACCGTTATCACCTGTAACCCAACTGATGCAGCATAGCGGCTATAAATACACAGGGAACCCCATGCTTCAGCCAATCTACATTTACCCTATTGGGCTAATCATTAGCCAGATCCCAAATGTGATCTTTTAACTAGTTGGCATCCTATTGATTAATTTTATGCCCCCCCCCCCAAAAAAAAACTGCATAAACAGTGAATATAATGTAGGCCTACCTGTTAGGGTAACTTGCCACCCGGGGTAAAACGCCCCCTGCCTGTACTTCTCACAGAAACCACTTCATGTCACAACTCAACCGCTGAGTGGTAACATGCTGAGTGGTAACATGCTTAAACATGCCGCTGCTAAAAACTCCAGGTTTAAAAATGGTAGTTTGCACATATTTACAAGTTGCAAAATAAATAAAGTAGGAATGGAAAGCCCCCTCTTTTTAACAAAGACCATTAAAACTGCTGTTTTCCCCGCGATTGCAAGAATTGTGCATCGACTGTTGTCAGAATGCATGTTTCCCTCCCTATGGCACTCCTTACTTGAATTTATCTCGCACAGAACAGACAAGCCGACGAGGTAAATAGATTCTACTATGGGGTAGTCTGGTTTTTCTATTCATTACTCGTTTTGTTGGCAGAGGAAAAGTAAACGTGGACTGTTCTAGCATCTTTAAAGTACGCCTCGGCAGAACTATTAAAAAAAAAAATTCTCCATATTTGTTTGGCCAGGCGGCAATGATTTTGCCGTGGCGACGCCACAGCTAAATGACTGCAGCGGAAACACTGGGCATGCGTATGAGAGATATAGATATATTTTTGTCACACACACCTGATGGCAATAGCGCCAACTTTCCCTGACTGAGATAAGTTCATTATTACCATTAGGGAGCCATGGATTCAATTCAAGAGAAATAACTTACTCTCAGTTCCTCCTCCTCGAAGTCATCATCGTCATCATCTCCGTTCTCTACCTCCATCAACATCTTGGTGACGGTTCTCTTAGCAACCTCCTGGACAGGAAGACAACAGCTCGATTAAAAATCTCTGCAGGGTCTTGTATTTATTCTGCCATTTTCCGCCCCAACCTAATATTTTGCACATCGCAATATTTGTAAAGGCTTTTCAAATTGATATTACAATTCAGGACATGTAGCTAATTTCTGAGAAGAGCCAGAAACAAATATTGTACTTACAGTTCCTTCAGAAAGTATTCATACCCCTTGACTTTTCCAGATTGTGTTGTGTTACAGACTGAATTCAAAATGTATTAAATAGATTCCCCCCCCTCACCCATCTACACAAAATACCCCATAATGACATAGTGAAAACATAGCAAAATGTATTGAAAATTAAATACAGGAATCTGTAAAAATAAATAAAAAAAAGTTATCACCTCTGAGTCAATACATGTTAGAATCACGTTTGGCAGCGAATACAGCGGAGAGTCTGGGTACGTCTAAGAGCTTTGTACACCTGGATTGTACAATATTTGCATATAATTCTTTTTTAAATTCTTCAAGCTCTGTCAAGTTGGTCGTTTATCATTGCTAGACAGCCATTTTCAAGCCAATTTAAGTCAAAACTGTAACTAGGCCACTCAGGAACATTCACTGTCGTCTTAGTATGCATCTCCAGTGTATTTTTGTCCTTGTATTTAAAGTTATTGTCATGCAGAAAGGTGAATTTGTCTCCCAGTGTCTGTTGGAAAGCAGACAACCTGGTTTTCTTTCAGGATTTTGCCTGTGCTTGGCTCTATTCAGTTTCTTTTTATTCTAAAAAAACAAACTCCCTAGTTCTTGCCGATGACAAGCATACCCATAACACGATGGGGCCACCACCATGCTTGAAAATATGAAGTGGTAACTCAGTGAAGTGTTGGATTTGCCCCAAACATAACGCTTTTTATTCAGGACAAAGTTCATTTTCTTGCCACATTTTTTGCAGTTTTACTTTAGTGCCTTACTGCAAACAGGAATATTTTTTATTCTGTACAGGCTTCCTTTCTTTTCACTCTGTCATTTAGGTTAGTAGAGTAACTACAATGTTGATCCATCCTGAGGTTTCCTTCCTCTCCAGCAACTGAGTTAGGAAGGACGCCTGTATCTTTATAGTGACTGGGTGTAATGATGCGAGGCATTGGTGAATACTTTACGAAGGCACTGTAGATGTGTGTTCCCCCCCCCTCACCTCTCCGTCAGAGTTCACCAGAGTGGTGATGATGTCGTCCCCGGTGCCCCAGGAGGCCTGGCTCTTCCACAGCAGGTCAGAGGGGGGGCTGTGAGACACGCCTGCGTCTGCTCCCCACACCTACAACGGGACATCACACAGAAAGATGAATTCATAACAACTAGGTTCAACACCAGGGGAAATGGCTAATGTTTCATACGTGCATTTACAAACTCTTGCCACCTGGGTGAATTTAGCTGACATATAAAGAATATCAGTCACAGAAAATCAGTAATGACTGAGGAGGACTGCTGCTTACCGTGACCGTCTGGCCAGCCTTGAGGACAAACTTCGGGGAGAACTTGTAGGTGATCTCCTCTCCTTCTCCAATCTGCCTCTGCAGCCTCCAGCTACCTAGAGACTGGTCCTATAGACAGTGGGGTTTTTTTAAAACCCTATTGCTTTCACCAATCCTAATTAACATGCCATTAATTATTGATTACTTCATGGCAGTAAAGCAAATATGCATCTTAAAGTATCAGAGAAGTTGTAATATGGAATTCTAAAGGGTTGTAATATTGAATTATAATTCTAAAGAGTTGTAATATGTAATTGCAGTGTTGTAGTACTCGAGTCTGACTCAAGGCTCAATTTTCATGACTTGAGACACGACTTGGACACGACTTGGACACGATTGACATCGAATAGGACTCGACTTGTTCGAAATCGGTGACTCGGAACTTGGACGAAATTAGGTGACTCGGACTGGTCCGACTCAGGTACTCGGACTTGACACACATTGTGACTCGGACTTGCTTCCCGACCATCGGTGACTGGGACTCACCGTCCTGTATTTGCACCTGGACTGGATAGGCTACTATGACGACTTATGTTCCATAGGCTATTGCATATTGCAGGCAATTATGACCTAAAGAACCCCGAATCCTTCGTTTTGCTTTCAAATGTTGACATTTTTTTATTTGCACATCAACCAATATTAAATGTAGGTATTTTTTGTTAAACTCAGACCCAGCGACTCAGACTTGAGCACTGTGCCTCACACTTCAGCCATAGCGACTCGACCATTGGTGACTCGGACTCGGGACTTAGCGACAGGGAATCGTGACTCGACCTTGAGGTTTAGTGACTCGACTACAACAACGCTGTAATTGTAAAGCGTTGTAATATGTCATTCTATGAGTAGCGAGCAGTACCTTGTCTGAGTCGTTCTTGAGGGTGACACACTTGCCCTCCAGGTCAGTCTCCTCGATGGCGACGCTGCCGACGGCCTCTGCCTCCTGGCTGATGTGGACCTGAGGCACGACCACTGATTCTTCCTCCAGCTCCACGCGCTTCCTCTTGGCGCGGGAGGAGCGGGAAGAGGTGCTGCCGCCCATGGCGCGGGACACTGTCACACGGCCGGACAGGCTGGGGGACAGCTTCAGTCTGTGAGAGGAAGAGGTGAGGAGAAAAAAAATGGAGTAGAAGGAGGAAATGTTAGTCATTTACTATTTGCATCCAGATTACCCAAAACGTTAACAAGAAAACAAATACCTACTGTATTGTGGAGGCTGACATCGTTTTACTAGTCGACCTTTAGTCTTCTGCTCTACACTCCAGTAGTTTGTCTGGTCTGGCTCTAGCTGACTGGCTCTCTCAGGGTCTCAACCACCAGCCTTCAAATACTGCTTATGACATTACGTCATAGCCATCTATCCAGCAGCACCTGGATAAGCCTGCCTAAACCTTCAGTAGTTCAGCAGGCACCAAGTGAACACAGGTCAAAGTTCAAGGAGAGGCATGACATTTGGGGGGAGAAACAGGTGTCAGCTTGAAAGGCCTCGGTTTCAATTTAGCTCATTGTTTACCCTTCTGCTCTAGCCTGGGGGGGACGGGACGTGCTCTAGCCTGGGGGGGACGGGACGTGCTCTAGCCTGGGGGGGGGGGCGTGCTCTAGCCTGGGGGACGGGAACGTGCTCTAGCCTGGGGGGGACGGGACGTGCTCTAGCCTGGGGGGGGGGGGCGTGCTCTAGCCTGGGGGACGGGACGTGCTCTAGCCATGGGGGGGGGGGGCGTGCTCTAGCCTGGGGGGGAACGGGACGTGCTCTCGCCAGGGGGGGACGGGACGTGCTCTAGCCTGGGGGGGGGGGGCGTGCTCTAGCCTGGGGGGGGGGGGGCGTGCTCTAGCCTGGGGGGGACGGGACGTGCTCTAGCCTGGGGGGACGGGACGTGCTCTAGCCTGGGGGGGACGGGACGTGCTCTAGCCTGGGGGGGACGGGACGTGCTCTAGCCTGGGGGGGGGAGGGACGTGCTCTAGCCTGGGGGGGAGGGGAGTGCTCTAGCCTGGGGGGGAGGGACGTGCTCTAGCCTGGGGGGGGGGGGCGTGCTCTAGCCTGGGGGGGGGGACGTGCTCTAGCCTGGGGGGGCGGGACAGTGCTCTAGCCTGGGGGGGACGGGCGTGCTCTAGCCTGGGGGGGACGGGACGTGCTCTAGCCTGGGGGGGGACGTGCTCTAGCCTGGGGGACGGGACGTGCTCTAGCCTGGGGGGGGGGGGACGTGCTCTAGCCTGGGGGGGGGGGGGGACGTGCTCTAGCCTGGGGGGGAGGGAGTGCTCTAGCCTGGGGGGGGGGGGGGGGGGGGGGGACGTGCTTAGCCTGGGGGGGGGGGGGGGGGGACGTGCTCTAGCCTGGGGGGGGGGGGGGTGGGGGGGGGCGTGCTCTAGCCTGGGGGGGGGGGGGGACGGTGCTCTAGCCTGGGGGGGGGGGGGACGTGCTCTAGCCTGGGGGGGGAGGGACGTGCTCTAGCCTGGGGGGGGGGACGTGCTCTAGCCTGGGGGGGGGGTGTGGGGGGGGGGGGACGTGCTCTAGCCTGGGGGGGGGGGGGGGGGCGTGCTCTAGCCTGGGGGGGGGGACGTGCTCTAGCCTGGGGGGGGAGGGACGTGCTCTAGCCTGGGGGGGGGGGGGGACGTGCTCTAGCCTGGGGGGGGGGACGTGCTCTAGCCTGGGGGGGGGGGGACGTGCTCTAGCCTGGGGGGGGACGTGCTTAGCCTGGGGGGAGGGACGTGCTCTAGCCTGGGGGGGGGGGACGTGCTCTAGCCTGGGGGGGCGGGGGGTCTAGCGGGGGACGTGCTCTAGCCTGGGGGGGGAGTGCTCTAGCCTGGGGTGGGGACGTGCTCTAGCCTGGGGGGGACGTGGGGACGTGCTCTAGCCTGGGGGGGGGGACGTGCTCTAGCCTGGGGGGGGACGTGCTCTAGCCTGGAGGATCAGTGATAAACCACAATGGGGAAGGGTGAATGATATGAATTATTGCCATATTTATTAGTCTACCTGTTTAGTGCAACTGGAAGAATGCAATTTGACTTCTTCCAGCAGCTTGCCAACAACATAATTAGAGACAGACAGAGACAGCTGCACCCCTCTGACAACAAGTGAGGAATGTACTGGCTGGAATTCACGGAGTGATGTGGAACTTCTCAGGCTGAAGGAATGCACCGCTCACCTGTTTCTTCTCCCACTCTAACCTGTGCACGCAAGTAGTTTGCAAGATGCATTGATCGCTAAAAGTGTGTTTTTAAAAATCAGTTATAATAATAAGCTATTTAGCTGACGCTTTTATCCAAAGCGACTTACAGTCATGCGTGCATACATTTTTACGTATGGGTGGTCCCGGGGATCGAACCCACTACCCTGGCGTTACAAGCGCTGTGCTCTACCAGCTGAGCTACAGCGGACCACAGCTTTCACCGGTTCTCTGTGGATGCGTTCTCGCTCTCTCTGTGGATGCGTTCTCGCTCTCACTGTGGATGCGTTCTCGCTCTCTCTGTGGAGCGTTTCGCTACTTTGGATGCGTCTCGCTCATCTGTGGATGGTTCGCTCACTCTGTGGATGCGTTCACGCTCTCTGTGGATGACGTTCTCGCCTCTTAGGGATGCGTTCCGCTCTACCTGTGGATGCGTTCTCCGCTCTCTCTGTGGAGCGTTCTCGCTTCTATGGATGCGTTTTACTCCTCTAAGTGGATGCGTTTTCTACTCTGTGGATGGTTTATCTCTCTCTCTTAGTGGATGCGCTTTCTATCTCTCGTGGATGCGCCTACTCTCTCTCCTGTGGATGCTCCTTTGTGGATGCGTTATCTCTTGTGGATGGTTCTCTCTGGTGGATCTTTCTCTGTGGAGGTCTCTCTCTCTCTGTGGATGCGTCTCTCTCTCTCTCTCTCTGTGGATGCGTTCTCTCTCTCTCTCTCTTGTGGATGCGTCTCTCTCTCTCTCTGTGGATGCGTTCTCTCTCTCTTGTGTGGATGCGTTCTCTCTCTCTCTCTGTGGATGCGTTTCTCTCTCTCTCTGTGGATGCGTTCTCTCTCTCTCTTCTTGGATCTCTCTCTCTCTCTCTCTGTGGATGCGTTTCTCTCTCTCTCGCTTCTCTCTCTCTATCGTTTCTCTGTTGGATGCGTTCTCTCTCTCTCACTCTCTCCTCTCCCTCCTCACTCCTCATCCTCACCTGTCCTCCTCTCCCTCCAGTAGTTTCCTGTAGGCGTTGATCTCCATGTCCAGGGCCAGTTTGACATCCAGCAGCTCCTGGTACTCGTTGAGCTGCTGCTGCATGCGGTCCCTCATCTCAGCCATCTCCCTCTCCTTGGAGTCCATCTGCTTGCGGTGCTTGTCCCGTTCTCCAGCCATCAGGTCCTCCAGCTCACGCACACGCTCCTCATTGGCAGACGCCTACACGTGGAGGGATGGATTAGTTCGAAAATGACAAAATAGGGACAGTTCAAGGCAGTACAATGTAATTGCAGTAGATAGCCATCTGGAAGCTACTTCTAACATTCCCGTTGAATTAGTAACTAATCAAAGTGTTTAATGAAGTTATCAGATAAAACAGATAGATTAACAACAACAAACCTGAGCACTACGAGCAGCATGTTAAGTACTATGAAGTGTGTGTAGGTGTAGGTAGGTAGGGGTGTGTGAGTGTAGGTGTGTGTGTGTGAGTGTAGGTGTGTGTGTGTAGGTGTGTGTGTGTGTGTGTGTGTGTGTGTAGGTGTGTGTGTACCTGTTTCTGCAGGGCAGAGAGCTGGTAGGCCAGGCTCTCGATCCTCATATGAGCCTCATCCAGCTCCTCCCGAGCGGTGCTCACCGCCTTGTCATTCAGGTCAGACGACACCTTGGCATTATCCAGCTGCACAGACGGGGTGGGGTTAGGCAGAGAACAGAACATGTCATTTACACTCCTGCAGGCCGGAACTACAGACAAAAGGACCACAAACAGTGGTATCAAATGAACTTGTCACAGACACATAATTAATATAAACTCAGCAAAAAAAGAAAACGTCCTCTCACTGTCAACTGCGTCTATTATCAGCAAACTTAACATGTGTAAATATTTGTATGAACATAAGATTCAACAAATGAGACATAAACTGAACATGTTCCACAGACATGTGACTAACAAAAATGGAATAATGTGTCCCTGAACAAAGAGGAGGTCAAAATCAAAAGTAACAGTCAGTAAGTAACATTAAGTACTGCAGTGCATCTCCTCCTCATGGACTGCACCAGATTTGCCAGTTCTTGCTGTGAGATGTTACCCCACTCTTCCACCAAGGCACCTGCAAGTTCCCAGACATTTCTGGGGGGGAATGGCCCTAGCCCTCACCCTCCGATCCAACAGGTCCCAGACGTGCTCAATGGGATTGAGATCCGGGCTCTTCGATGGCCATGGCAGAACACTGACATTCCTGTCTTGCAGGAAATCACGCACAGAATGAGCAGTATGGCTGGTGGCATTGTCATGCTGGAGGGTCATGTCAGGATGAGCCTGCAGGAAGGGTACCACATGAGGGAGGAGGATGTCCTCCCTGTAACACAGTGTTGAGATTGCCTGCAAATGACAAGCTCAGTCCGATGATGCTGTGACACACCGCCCCAGACCATGACGGACCCTCCACCTCCAAATCGATCCCGCTCCAGAGTACAGGCCTCGGTGTAACGCTCATTCCTTTGACGATAAACACGAATCCGACCATCACCCCTGGTGAGACAAAACCACGACTCGTCAGTGAAGAGCACTTTTTGCCAGTCCTGTCTGGTCCAGCGACGGTGGGTTTGTGCCCATAGTCGACGTTGTTGCCGGTGATGTCTGGTGAGGACCTGCCTTACAACAGGCCTACAAGCCCTCAGTCCAGCCTCTCTCAGCCTATTGCGGACAGTCTGAGCACTGATGGAGGGATTGTGCGTTCCTGGTGTAACTCGGGCAGTTGTTGTTGCCATCCTGTACCTGTCCCGCAGGTGTGATGTTCGGATGTACCGATCCTGTGCAGGTGTTGTTACATGTGGTCTGCCACTGCGAGGACGATCAGCTGTCCGTCCTGTCTCCCTGTAGCGCTGTCTTAGGCGTCTCACAGTACGGACATTGCAATTTATTGCCCTGGCCACATCTGCAGTCCTCATGCCTCTTTGCAGCATGCCTAAGGCACGTTCACGCAGATGAGCAGGGACCCTGGGCATCTTTCTTTTGGTGTTTTTCAGAGTCGGTAGAAAGGCCTCTTTAGTGTCCTAAGTTTTCATAACTGTGACCTTAATTGCCTACCGTCTGCAAGCTGTTAGTGTCTTAACGACCGTTCCACAGGTGCATGTTCATTAATTGTTTATGGTTCATTGAACAAGCATGGGAAACAGTGTTTAAACCCTTTACAATGAAGTTATTTGGATTTTTACGAATTATCTTTGAAAGACAGGGTCCTGAAAAGGGGATGTTTCTTTTTTTGCTGAGTTTAGTATGAAATTGACTATTTGTTTTGCAAGTAGCAACCCCCCCCACACAATTTCATAGCTAATTATAAATCATTATGACAGTATTTCCCTATGTCTCCCTTTGATGCCCCCAGGACTGCATACAGTGCATTCGGAAAGTATTCAGACCCCCTTCCCTTTTTCCACTTTGTTACGTTACAGCCTTATTCTAAAATGGATCAAATAAAAATTCCGCAATCTATACACAATACCCCATAATGACAAAGCGAAAACAGGTTTAGAAATATCAAATTTATAAAATAAAAAAAACAGAAATACCTTATTTACGTAAGTATTCAGACCCTTGCTCTGAGAAATTAAGCTCAGGTGCATCCTGTTTCCAATGATCATCCTTGAGCTGTTTCTACAACTTGGAGTCCACCTGTGGTATATTCAATTGATTGGACATGATTTGGAAAAGCACACCTGTCTATTTAAGGTCCCACAGTTGACAGTGCATGTCAGAGCAAAAACCAAGCCATGAGGTCGAAGGAATTGTCCGTAGAGTTCCTAGACAGGATTGTGTCGAGGCATTGGGGAAGGGTCCCCAAACATTTCTGTAGCATTGAAGGTCTCCAAGAACACAGTGGCCTCCATTCTTAAATGGAAGAAGTTTGGAACTACCAAGACTCTTCCTAGAGCTGGCCGCCCAGCCAAACTGAGCAATCGGGGGAGAAGGGCCTTGGTCAGGGAGGTGACCAAGAACCCGAGGGTCACTGACAGAGCTCCAGAGTTCCTCTGTGGAGATGGGAGAAACTTCCAGAAGGACAACCATCTCTGAAGCACTTCACCAAATCAGGCCTTTGTGGCCATTAAAAAGGCACGACAGCCCGCTTGGAGTTTGCCAAAAGACACCTAAAGGACTCTGACCATGAGAAAATATTCTCTGGTCTGATGAAACCAAGATTGAACTCTTTGGCCTGAATGCCAAGAGTCACATCTGGTGGAAATCTGGCACCATCCCTACGGTGAAGCATGGTGGTGGCAGCATCATGCTGTGGGGATGTTTTTCAGCGGCAGGGACTTGGAGACTAGTCAGGATCAAGGTAAAGATGAACGGAGCAAAGGAGAAAGAGATCCTTGATGAAAACCTGCTCCAGAGCGCTCAGGACCTCAGACTGGGGTGAAGGTTCACCTTCCAACAGGACAACAACCCTAAGCACACAGCCAAGACAACGCAGGAGTGGCTTAGGGACAAGTCTCTGAATGTCCTTCAGTTGCCCAGCCAGAGCCCGGACTTGAACCCGATCTAACATCTCTGGAGAGACCTGAAAATAGCTGTGCAGTGACGCTCCCCATCCAACCTGACAGAGCTTGAGAGGATCTGCAGAGAAGAATGGGAGAAACTGCCCAAATACAGGTGTGCCAAGCTTGTAGCGTCATACCCAAGAAGACTCAAGGCTGTAATCGCTGCCAAAGGTGCTTCAACAAAGTACTGAGTAAAGGGTCTGAACACTTATGTAAATGTCATAGTTTGTTATTTATTTTTTAATACATTTGCCAACATTTCTAAAAACCTGTTTTTTGCTTTGTCATTATGGGGTATTGTGTGTAGATTGATGGGGGGGGGGGGGGGGGGGGGACAATTTAATCAATTTTAGAATAAGGCTGTAACGTAACAAAATGTGGAAAAAGTCAAGTGGTCTGAATACTTTCCGAAGGCACTGTATCTCTGTTGTAGAACTAGCACACCTGATTCAACTAAATCAATGATTAGTAGACTAGCTAGTTCAAATCAGGTGGGATAGTTATATATACTGCCAGCCTAGGGGATAAGAGTGTCTGCTAAATGGCTAAAATGTAAAGCTAGTTTCCTAAAGGTCAAAGGTCGGTCACACATGGTCATAAACTCCTAGCCTGACACATCTAAAAGGCTTAGGAAGCATGGGGTCAGAGATCATTCATACCTTGGCCTGGAAGGTGTTGCCCAGCTCCTCCTTGTAGATGGAGACTTGTTCCTCGTGCTGCCTGCGCAGGTCCTGCAGAGCCTGGGCCAGTTGGAACGTGTAGTCCTGGGTCACCCCACTGTCCACCTCCACGGTGCGCTTCTCACGACGACGACGCGTCTCACGCACCTCCTACACTCCAGACAGTCACCACACCAGTCAGACAGGCGTTAGCGTTACGTGGCTAGTCTGCTTGCACATGCCCCGGTGTAAAGATGTAAAGCTTTGATTTAAAATTGTTTTGTTTTTTTTGCAGAAAAGGGAGGCATGTGAATCACAGTTGTAGCTTTTGTTCTTGTGCATTTCTCTGTATGTTTGAAATCACAGCAGCTGTGGGACTTTATACACCGAGTATACAAAAAATTTCCATGACATAGACGGACCAGGTGAAAGCTATGATCCTTTATTGATGAACAGTAGGAGACAGGTTAAAGAAGTATTTTTAAGCCTTGAGACAATTGAGACATGGATTGTGTATGTGTGCCATTCAGAGAGTGAATGGGCAAAACAAAATATTTAAGTGCCTTTGAACAGGGTATGGTAGTAGGTGCCAGGCGCACCGGTTTGTGTCAAGAACTGCAATGCTGTTGGGTTTTTCACGCTCAAGTTTCCCCATGTGTATCAAGAATGCTCCACCACCCAGGACATCCAGCCAACTTGACACAATTGTGGGAAGCATTGGAGTTAACATGGGCCAGCATCCCTGTGGAACGCTTCCGACACCTTGTAGAGTCCATGCCCCGACGAATTGAAGCTGTTCTGAGGGCAAAGGGGGAAGGTGTTTCTAATGTCTGGTATACTCGGTGTACAGGACTGGGTCGGCCTGAGGTTACAGTGTCTAAATGTGACATGTATTTACCTGCTGAGGCTTTCCCCCCCCCAATGAATAGTGTTTCCCCACCCTGGGCAAACAACAGTGATGGATGGCGTCATCTCCATATATGTCCACCCACCTCGTCGAACATGCTCTTCCTGAACTGCAGCTCTTCTGTCAGACTCTGGCAGCGGTTCTCCAGATCCACCCTCATCAGAGTCTCGGTCTCCAGCTGCTTTTTAGCAACTGCATGGGCATCTTCAGCCTGGAGACACAAGACATGGTGTTATAAGAACAAAGGCCGACCTGTGTGTGTGTGTGTGTGTGTGTGTGTCCTAACCGTGCAGCAACATGATAGTGTGTGTGTGTGTGTGTGTCCTAACCGTGCAGCAACATGATAGTGTGTGTGTGTGTGTGTGTGTGTCCTAACCGTGCAGCAACATGATAGTGTGTGTGTGTGTGTGTGTGTGTGTGTCCTAACCGTGCAGCAACATGATAGTGTGTGTGTGTGTGTGTGCGTGTGTGTGTGTCCTAACCGTGCAGCAACATGATAGTGTGTGTGTGTGTGTGTGTGTGTGTGTGTGTGTGTGTGTCCTAACCGTGCAGCAACATGATAGTGTGTGTGTGTGTGTGTGTGTCCTAACCGTGCAGCAACATGATAGTGTGTGTGTGTGTGTGTGTGTGTGTGTGTGTCCTAACCGTGCAGCAACATGATAGTGTGTGTGTGTGTGTGTGTGTGTGTGTGTGTGTGTGTGTGTGTAAGCCCAGTCTGACTCACCCGTGTGTGAACGTACTTTACAAATAATATGACTCACTTCCCCCCCCCCACCCCCACCCCACTCCTGGTTTGCTTGTTCCAATGTACATAATAGCCCATGACAGTTATGTAACTAACGACAACCAGCTACCAACTTTCAATTGGGTAACTTCCGTTTAGTTTGCCACTTCATGTGGTCGCCCAACCCCCCATAGATAAACCTTCCAGGCAGCGTTAATAGAAGACACTGACTGTATGGCGAGTAGAAGACAGGTGTGAGTAAAACGGGAACTCCAGATATGGCTACTACCAGGCTAGCAATATCGTGTGTGGGATTCTTTCTGTCCCTGTAAGTTAAAAAAAACACAGACCGTGTTCATAGAAAACCAGACGGGGGGGGGGCTGTGTGATGTAATGGAAGCCGAGCTACCAGGCTAGAAATAATGTGCACTGCCTTGGGACTCGTTTTGGTCTCATCAGTAACGCTTTAGACTATGTTGATGTGGTTCTCTGTAGCTCTGTTGGTAGAGCACGGCACTTGCAAAGCCAGGATAGTGGGTTTGATTCCCCGGGACCACCCATACGTTAAAAAGTGTATGCAATCATGATAAAGTCGCTTCGGATAAAAGCATCTGCTAAATGGCATATATTATTATATTATTTAACCAGACTGTCGAGCGAGTGAAGTTTGAGTGAAACTGTAAAAGGTGCAGAAACCTTAGCTAGCTGGGCCTTCAGGTCGGCAACCTCTGCAGCCAGGTTTCCATTCTCGCTGAGGGCCGTGGCCAGGTTTGCTTCACTCTTGTTGAACTGGGCCTCAAAGTCCTTGGCCCGAGCCATGGCAAGAGCCAGGTCGCCATCTTTCTTTTTCAGGCTGAGGAAATGGAGAACAAACAGAGACTGTGTGAGATCATGTGCATTTACTTTCATAATATAAAAAGGCAACGTACATTTCCATTCAAACTCCAGCTATTTTTTTTGGGACTGAAATTAGTTTAACTTTTGCCAATTTCCAACCAACTGTTTGATACATTAAAGCATGTTCCTTGTCCCTAATCTGATTTCACAGAAAATACAGGAGAAAGGGCACTGAAATCTCAGCACATCTTCTCCCACCCACTTCTTCTTATGACACAGATTGTGCTGTACAGCAGCTGCCAATAGAAAAAAGGAACACAACTGTATAGCTACACATTAAACGTTGGTTTTAAAAGATAAGCATGCCCGCAAGACCGATAAATAAAGAGGATATTCCTTCAGCGGTTGGAGGCGGTAACCAAGACAGTGCTTTAGAAACTGACTAACTTCCTGTCAACCAAAGTGTTAATTAGCAACCATGTAAACAATGATCAACACAAGTGTCTTGAACCTTGAGGAACAGAAACAGAAACGTCTAACTTGGTTGAAATACCCTTGAAAGCATCTGACCAGGGGGAATTAGGATTAGTAAACCAGGTTTACACGAACAGCAAGTGTGTAATTGGGAGTCAATACTAGCAGGCATCTCCACAAAATGACCCTGCTCATAAGACCATGGAGTTTTTAACTGAAGTGAATAAGATCACGTGAGGGTTTAAAATGTTAGAGTTTACTCCATGACTAGGATCATAACATATACACAAGACAGGATTGGGTTCAATTCAATTGAAGGGAGTCAATTCAGGAAGTAAACTGAAATTCCAATTCAATAACTGAAAAAACAGCCATCTAATTTCAATGACTTCTTACTTGTGACTTAAAAGTAAATGCTATTTATTTCAAACACATTTTTTTTGTTGAAGTTTAAATTAAAATCACTTCCTGAATGAACTACCTTCAATTCTTATTAACCCCAACCCTGACAGGTTCATAAAACTGTTGCTCTGAAAGGAGATTAGCAGCATCAGGCAGTCCTGTAGGATTAGAGACAATCTGAGATATTAAGTCAATTATTTTGGTTGGAGCGTAGAACTTGCATCTCAAACAACTAACGTTAGCCACAGATTGACCCACAGCATTTTTGTATGACAGGAATTTGCATCTTGCCATATAACACACAACTATTTTGTGTAACAGACTGTAAAGGAATGGGTGTAGGACATCATAAAGGAATGTGTGTAGGACATCATAAAGGAATGTGTGTAGGACATCATAAAGGAATTGTGTAGCATGTCATTAAGCAGGGTTCCTCAACTGGCAGCCCGCAGTCTACAAATTATTTGTAATTACGTTTCGGCCCCCCTCGCCATCCACTCAATAAATATTTTTTTGTAATCGTCCCGTGGCTGAATCTAGTTGATGATCCCTGTCATTAAGGATTGTGTGTAGAACGTCATACAACCAACACACAATGATTTTTCTACGACAGACAGACGTAATGGAATGTGCATCTTGTCATGTTGGCCTACAATTAAGTGATTTCCTCTTCCAGAGTGAGAGGAATATGCAGCCTCACACATTAAAATAACACTTTTCAGGAGGCAGAATCCAAATCAGTGGGTGTTATTACTCACCTCCTGGTCACCTCCTCCAGGTCAGAGTTGGCCTTCCCCAGGTCTATCTGCAGCCTGGCCCTCTCCCTGGCAGTCTCATCCAGGACACGCCGAGCGTCTGCTAGCTCCGCCTCGTACAGGGTCTTAATCCCAGTCACCTGGTGCAGAGAGGGGGAGCGCATACAACAAACAAAAAAATCACACTTTTATTTGTCACATGTGCCAAATACAACTGGTGTAGAGTTTACTGTGAAATTATTGCTTACGAGCCCTTCCCAACAACGCAGAGTTTAAAAATAAATATAAAATAAAATAGTAACGAGGAATAAAATAAAATGCACAAGAATGGAGCTCTATACAGGGAGTACAAGAACCAGATCAATGTGGAGCTCTATACAGGGAGTACCAGAACCAGATCAATGTGGAGCTCTATACAGGGAGTACCAGAACCAGATCAATGTGGAGCTCTATACAGGGAGTACCAGAACCAGATCAATGTGGAGCTCTATACAGGGAGTACCAGAACCAGATCAATGTGGAGCTCTATACAGGGAGTACCAGAACCAGATCAATGTGGAGCTCTATACAGGGAGTACCAGAACCAGATCAATGTGGAGCTCTATACAGGGAGTACCAGAACCAGATCAATGTGGAGCTCTATACAGGGAGTACCAGAACAATGTGCAGAGGTACGAGGTAGACATGTACAGTGAGGGAAAAAAGTATTTGATCCCCTGCTGATTTTGTATGTTTGCCCACTGACAAAGACATGATCAGTCTGTAATTTTAATGGTAGGTTTATTTGAACAGTGAGAGACAGAATAACAAACAAAAAAATCCAGAAAAACGCATGTCAAAAATGTTATAAATTGATTTGCATTTTAATGAGGGAAATAAGTATTTGACTCCTCTGCAAAACATGACTTAGTACTTGGTGGCAAAACCCTTGTTGGCAATCACAGAGGTCAGATGTTTCTTGTAGTTGGCCACCAGGTTTGCACACATCTCAGGAGGGATTTTGTTCCACTCCTCTTTGCAGATCTTCTCCAAGTCATTAAGGTTTTGAGGCTGACGTTTGGCAACTCGAACCTTCAGCTCCCTCCACAGATTTTCTATGGGATTAAGGTCTGGAGACTGGCTAGGCCACTCCAGGACCTTAATGTGCTTCTTCTTGAGCCACTCCTTTGTTGCCTTGGCCATGTGTTTTGGGTCATTGTCATGCTGGAATACCCATCCACGACCCATTTTCAATGCCCTGGCTGAGGGAAGGAGGTTCTCACCCAAGATTTGACGGTACATGGTCCCTGTCGATCGTCCCTTTGATGCGGTGAAGTTGTCCTGTCCCCTTAGCAGAAAAACACCCCCAAAGCATAATGTTTCCACCTCCATGTTTGACGGTGGGGGATGGTGTTCTTGGGGTCATAGGCAGCATTCCTCCTCCTCCAAACACGGCTAGTTGTGTTGATGCCAAAGAGCTCCATTTTGGTCTCATCTGACCACAACACTTTCACCCAGTTCTCCTCTGAATCATTCAGATGTTCATTGGCAAACTTCAGACGGGCCTGTATATGTGCTTTCTTGAGCAGGGGGACCTTGCGGCGCTGCAGGATTTCAGTCCTTCACGGCGTAGTGTGTTACCAATTGTTTTCTTGGTGACTATGGTCCCAGCTGCCTTGAGATCATTGACAAGATCCTCCCGTGTAGTTCTGGGCTGATTCCTCACCGTTCTCATGATCATTGCAACTCCACGAGGTGAGATCTTGCATGGAGCCCCAGGCCGAGGGAGATTGGCAGGTCTTTTGTGTTTCTTCCATTTGCGAATAATCGCACCAACTGTTGTCACCTTCTCACCAAGCTGCTTGGCGATGGTCTTGTAGCCCATTCCAGCCTTGTGTAGGTCTACAATCTTGTCCCTGACATCCTTGGAGAGCTCTTTGGTCTTGGCCATGGTGGAGAGTTTGGAATCTGATTGATTGATTGCTTCTGTGGACAGGTGTATTTTATACAGGTAACAAACTGAGATTAGGAGCACTCCCTTTAAGAGTGTGCTCCTAATCTCAGTTTGTTACCTGTATAAAAAGACACCTGGGAGCCAGAAATCTTTCTGATTGAGAGGGGGTCAAATACTTATTTCCCTCATTAAAAATGCAAATCAATTTATAACATTTTTTACATGCGTTCTTCTGGATTTTTTTGCTGTTATTCTGTCTCTCACTGTTCAAATAAACCTACCATTAAAATTATAGACTGATCATTTCTTTGTCAGTGGGCAAACGTACAAAATCAGCAGGGGATCAAATACTTTCCCTCAATGTACATGAAGGCAGGGTAAAGTCACTACCCATCAGGATAGATGAGAGTAAAATAAAGAATAGAGTAGCAGCAGAAAATGAGTGTAAAAGTGTGCATGTATGCGTGTGTGTTGTGTCAGTATGAATATGTGTGGGTTGTGTGCAAGTGTCAATGTAGTGCGTATATGGTGTGTATATACACAGTCTAGTGAATGTGTGTAGGGTCAGTGCAGATAGTTTGGGTACTGTTAAATAGACTATTTAGCAGTCTTGTGACACACACAGGCTGTCAGTCACGAGCAGTGTCCGCTCGGAAGGCTGTACTATCCAGCATTCCACAGCTTGTTTTCCCTCATACATAACGGATGGCGGGCGTGGCTCGCTTTACAATTCCCAAATGAAAAGATTTGGCAGTAACAGTCTGAGACCTTTGTTATAAAATTATGTTTATCTTAAACTGGTAATTAAAAACATGTTTGAAGAGATGTATAACTTTTTCATGAATGCCCATCTTTCTTTGCACAGACATATTATTTAACTCATCCCATTATCAAATACAAACCCTAAAATTATAGCAACAAGAGGCCATCTGACATGCATCAAACTAGTTTTCCCAAAACATCAATATGTGCATACTATATTGTTTAGCAATGCACAACAAAGCTGTTTTTCCTTTAATATAAAAACAGGCCGGGAGAGAGTAACAGTTACAGATTCAAAACTTTAAAAAGGCGCCCCTCGGGCCACTCCCATCTGGAACTTTGACTCTGCACAGCAGAACAATACCCACGCGTTGGACAACGCTCCCCTCGGCTGGAAAGAGGGCTGTGTCTCGTTACAGCTTGGCTCAAGTCCAGACAATGATCCCATTCTGGGGTCTGTTCAGTAGACAGTGCAAGTCAAAGCCCTTCCTAGTCGCTGAGACTATCTATATAAACACTATGTAACAGTGTTGGAATGTAGTAGCTAGATGAGCTGATAGGTGCTTCCTAACCTGCCCTTTAGCTCTGAACAGGTGTACCAGCAACTACCACATATCAACAGTTACCGCAACCACTGAACTCATAGCTAGCTCAATTAATTTACCCGCTCCCCCATTTATATGCTTTCTAGGAAACGTTGTGAAATAGTTATCAATGTGATCCAGTGAACTGAAGTCATTCTGGAGCTCTGAGACTGAAGTTGTCAAATAATCAAGACAATGGAACTGTATGGCCAATTGCACATACTGTACACATTCCTAAGTGATAGGAATCCCAAAGATGTGGATTTCATACTGCATTGAGAATAACAATGATAAATGCCGATTGTGGTAAAAACAAAGCCACCTGGACAGAACTAGATGGCAGATTGTAACAGCTAATGTGATGTTCCATTAGCCGTTACAGGATAGGTACAGTTTGGCGCAGCACAGAGAATTTGACCAACCTTGGCGATACGATCTTCGTTCTAGATTCGGCCAAACACACATCTTTAAAAATGTTCATGTCCAGCTGTAGGTGGTTCGTTTGAATTTAGAAAATGCTTAGTTATTAAAATAATATGTTTTGCGCCATGAAGTAATCCAACAATGTGTACGCCGCCATCTTGTCCATTTCAAATCTTCTCTCATTGACAAGATAGGTGGGTGCACTTACACCTGTCTCGATCAATGAGAGAAGATTTTAAATAGACAAGATGACGGCGTACACATTGTTGGATTACTTCACTAAGCAAAAAATGTATTCCTTTTGGTTGGTCAAAAACTCTGTGCTACGCCTATCCTGTAACGGGTAATATAATGGAACATCAAATAGCCTGTTACAATCTGTTAGCTAAAACAGCGCCAACTTTGGTTAGTTTACCTTATCCACCAAGTAATGTACTAATCTTGGACATTTTGTTTTAATATTTTTTTGTTAAAATCAGATTTGTTATTTTGTGTTGATTAAAACCAAATTAACTATAATACTCGCGGGAGTTTCGAACACCCAAAACTTGTTTTCCTAGTTAGCTGGCTAATCGTGCATGCAATGTAGGCATGACAGCTAGCTACCATGCAAACGGGGCTAGGCTAGCGAGTCTTAAAGTTGCTAACTATATGATTCACTGGGAATGAGCGAGATGACTGGTGAAACATTGCAATTAATCAATCGTCTCATTGATTGATAAAATGTAGCTATGGCGAGACTTATCTTCCAAAGTCCAGTTACTATGTACCTACAAAACTTGCTAGCTTGCTAATCAGCTAGTGTCTGTCCAGGCCCGTGAGAAATATAGCCAAGCCAACAAATCAAACTGCTCGCAAAATGTACAAACTGATAGACCACAAGTTGGTTACCGGTGTGTTCCATTAACCAGTTCGATTTGCTAACTAGATGGGTTGTGCTACCGGTAACTTAGTAGTTAACTATCTTGCTAGCTAGTTAAATGCTAACGTTAGCGAACTACCGGTAATTAACGTTATAGGGTTAGCGAGCAGCATAGAGATTTGAAGTGTTAAAAATTACCTCGCGTGTAGTGACTTCTTCCTTCTCGGAGACCTTCACCATGAGCCGGTCATTTTCAAGCTCTAGTGACCGGACTCGGTCGATGTAAACGGCAAGCCTATCGTTCAAATGCTGCAGGTCTTGTTTTTCCTGGAGGCGTGAGATCCTAGTCGGGGAGAGCGGGGTTCCAGCAGGCGCGGCGCGGCTTGGGGTTGCGGTGGCCATGATTCTTCCAAGTTTTACTCCACTCTGCAATGGTTTTCAAAACTTATTTTATTCCTATGCCCGATCGCAACGCACTTGTTGTTTTGAGGTTGTAAAAAAAGAGGTTTAATTACAACCTAAAACGAGTTTGTTTGATGAATGAAATCTGCAGTACTACCAAGACATGTAGCTAGAATTCTCCTAAATTGAAAGACCTCGCCAAAGCAAAATGGCCGAACCTCACGCGGACCGCGCCAAAACGAGAATTGAGTTTTGCTCATAGACTTACATAGACATCGCATCTGTCCGAGTATGGCAATGCTGTGTTTTAGGGCAATCATTTTTATATGACCTGGATTTTAAACTTTTATTTAAAGCTTTTTCAACAAATTGTCCACTTTTCTTTTTATGTCAGATGGTCCAGTACCATCCTCAGACAATTGCTTTCATTTTTTGCAATTCTTATTTCTGGAAAAGGCTTAAAATAAAAGTAAATATCTAGGTCATGTGACATGATAGTCCAAACCACAGAGGCCTAATTATGGCATCTGTCAGCATGTGCAGCGCCATTTTGGTGGTGGGCCGAAGCTGAAAAACTTGAACAGTCTTTTGATGTGTTGGCACTGTCAATTCTTGCACATTTTCTCATTAAAAAAGTATATTTCTTTCTCTGCTCAGGCAAATTAGCCAAACTTGGAACCAATCAGATCTCCCGTACATACCCCTCGTGATGAAGGCAGCCAATGGCCTGCTTCTATCTAGGATGTAAACACAGCCTCAAATTAAAACTCAAGCTGCTTTCTGTATGTGTGTGATGAGCTCCCAAAGACTGAAATAAGATAAATATCTGCTTTTGAGTGCGCTTGAAGCTTAGTCAAGTTTCAGTTTTTCACTCAGACATGAACTAATAGACGATGGAAGAAGTGGAGATTCTAAAATAATGGAAAAATAAGGAAAATTGATGTGGGAAAGGAAACATCTATAAGCCTATTGTATCTGGTAGGGGTTAGTTTGTTGGGCCTCACTCGTCGATGATTGTCCCTGTGTTGTGTTTTGAGCTACGGTGCAGGGCACCTGTCAAAGGAGTAATTTCTGTGTTGGAAGATGTTCACATTGAAATGCTAAACATAATAACGCAACGTTAATAACCATGGTTTCGGGGAAACAGCTCAGACATTTTACGATGCACCTACGAAGGTTTTAACAATTAACTTAACCTTAAGAAGCTTTTGGGAAACCGGGCCATGGTTAGTTGAAAAGTCTATGGCAGCGTTTTGTATAGGCAAACCTGTAACGTCCAGTAATGGACACCAACAATCTTTTATCTAGCACATTATCAGTTCTACAATCTGTTGCTAACTCCGATTAAGCCTATTGACAGGGATAAGGTGGCTTTTCTTACATCAGTATGAATGAAATAGCGAGTCCTGCCTTAGTGATTGTGTAACGCACCATTTAGAGCAGGGTTCTTCAATTCCGGTCCTGGAGGTTCCGAAACACCTCTGTTTTTCATCCTCTCCTTCTAATCAGGGGCTAATTCAGACCTGGGACACCAGGTGAGTGCAATTAACTACCAGGTAGAAATAAAAAAACAGAAGTGTTTCGGCCCTCCAGGACCGGAATTGAAGAACCCTGGTTTAGAGGGTTCGAAGAGTGGAACGTCAACTATAGCTAGGATAGTTAAGACTAGACGGAGGCAGCATACAGGAGCTATGTAAAACATGTCGTTACTCTCTTGAAGCAAACGCCATCTCAACTACTAAGTGCCTGTTCATCTACTGCCTCGTTCCCCTCCACCTCCACATGGGCTGGAACCCAAGTAAATCTTATCTGAATACCCACCTGTTTAATCCTGCCATGGGTTTGTAGCTCAATCAGTTCATATGACAGACAGGAATTTATAGACAGGTCAGGCATTACTAATCAATGATGAACATTCGGATTCTCATCCTTACAATTGTATTAGCTTTACAATACTTGTGCTATAGATTTTTGTAGTCTTATATTATTACTTGGTATAATGATAGCTAAAACCCCCTGTCCGGGAATGACATGCTAGTTATAAAGCTATCTTTGTTGGCAGCAATCAGCCAATGAAGAATAATAAAATGGACTCGTTAAAAATTGAGAGGCTGCTCATGCTGTCACAGATGCAATAATTGCACTGATACAAAGATGAGTCCTCTATCTATCTCTATGGGCTGTTGTTCACGAGCATATCTGCCCTCTCATTGGCTAGAATGGTCCCACCTGATCTTGCCTCCTCCCTTAGACAATATTTGGTCTAGTTCCCTCATACTCAACTCTGGACCTCGAAGCCAGGTCTGCTGCATTTTTTCATTGTTACCCTCTAATCATCAGTGGCGATTTTAGCATGTAAATCTTGGTGCGGCAAACTCAAAATAATATTTTTGTATGCATGCCAGCAAAGCCACAACACTAAACAATACATGAATTGCACTATAACAGTGACAAACGTGCCCACAAACTGTTAGGGCCTACATAAAGCTGTCCCAACAGCGGAGCTTTCCTTTCAGCACCATGGAGTGAATCCTTACCACCGCTACACCTGGCAATCAGCGGATCCTTGTCTGGCAGCGAAACAGTTCATTCCGCCTCATTTACAGCCTTTTAAAAAACCATAGCTGATATGGCTGACTTGCTTAAACAAATGTGGTTACTACTGACTCCTTGTGGATTTGTATAAGTCGATAAGAACCTCATTCTCCTTCAATAATAACAAACGCCAAAATTAGTTTTGACTTTTGAACCACACACAAACATTATTACATTTATGTTCAGTAAATTCATCATGTTTGTTCTTATATCATTAACACTTAGCTCGAAGTATAAGCAAGTGCAAGCAAACGAGCTACAACAAGGTAGGCCTATTCGTTCAGCACTTTCAAAATGGACACCAACAGACATTCAGATGTTAGTTCAGTTAAATTCAGCAAGATGTTGAGGCCTTAACTTTACTCTTCTTTAAGTCACCACACAGAGAGAGAGACACACTCGGTTAGCCTACCATTTAAATTATTTTATTAGGCCTATGTGGTCTAAAAAGGAAGGAAAATACAATCATGAGGATCCACTTTTATATCAAATATACCGACGCACAGACAGCACTTTTTTTTCTCCGCAATATCAACTGGAATTACATGGGTCTATTACTGAACTTTTTGTTGAAAACAAATATTTCAATGGAAAGAGACTCACTGGCAAACATGGTTACAGACCCAACAACATTATATAGTATCTCCTCCTCGTCAAGAAAAGCACAAGCTAATAATAATAATACAATAATAATAAAAGTAAGCAAAACAATGAAATCATACCAACATTACTTAAAATGATGAATAAGACACTAGTGAGACAGACCTCTATAAGCAATAGGACTATAACAATTGAGATGGACAAACTATGGCATAAGGGAACGATGAGCGGATAAGAGGCAATCCGTAATTTCGATTAAGACATTAATGGAGTGAGCTAAAATGGACATAGTCAGTATAACTATTTGTTCAGCACTTTTGAAATGTACAGCGACAGAATTCAGAACATGGGCCGTTCTTACAGTGTTCTCTCTGTACACCAAGTCAGAACCGTAGGATAAATAAAGGGGGCATATAAGCAGACAATGAAAGCTCTTACAAAATGTGATGATTACATTTCTCTATAACAGGTTATAGGCTACATGTGCACCACCAAGTCAGAACAGTAGGCTGCGTTCTGAGGGGGAAAGGGACCAAAGTATTAGGGTGAGGCACGTGGGCTACTAACAGCTTACTACACAACATACACTTAGTATTGATTTCTTAGCTACAGTATACATATCTCCCTGGCATATTACATCATTTATGCAGCAGCATACAATACATTTCTGGACCATTGTTGTGCTGTGCTCACTTGAACAGGAAGGTGGCGCAGCAGTTGTCATCAAAGTCAATAAAAAAAACAAGGTTGAATCGTGACTTCAGTGATCTTCAGGTCGGAGATCTAGAAAGAAGCCTGAGTTCCCAACTTGGAATTCTGAGTTGGATGACCATTCAAAATGGGTTTTTTTCCGCAATCGGAGCTAGTTTTTTTCCCCCCCCAGAGGTCCCAGTTGTCTTGAAATCACTCTGAAATCCCAGTTCAGAGTTTCCAGTTGTTTTGAACGCGGCAGAAGTCATGCTGGATTGACAGCATGGCCAATGTATTCAACCTTTTCTGGCCCATGGTGTTGCGTTTGAATGTTTATCCTTTTAAGCTTGGAAAAGATACCCTTTCAGACAGATGTTTTAAATCCTTAAACCCAGACATGGACCACACACCCTCTCTACCGAATAGCAGGCAGGAGAAGAAAAAGTGATTGCTTTGCAATGCTTGAAGTTAGCCACTGATTCCTTCCAAACCACTCATTGTTGAATTTGTGATTTCCGACTTGTGTAATGTTTAAGTCCAATGATCGAAGAGCACCGATACATTTTATCTATAATTTCTCTTCATATGACAAGGATTTGCCAGTAGATTGTCGACATGATTCATGATGATGACTGCTTGTCTAGCTAAGATTTTGAAAGTATGATGTTGACATGATCAGTCCAATCAAAGTTACGGTAGATATAATGTGATTTGATGTCATTTTATCTGTGGCCAATGACCTTGAGCCTTCTTGGATGGGCACTTCTAATGTAAATCTATGGCAGCACCAAATGGGGCTTGAACTGCCTAGCTCTCCCTTTAGATTCTGCGGTGACATAGTGTCCCTATGAGTGACAGAACACTGAGCTAATCACAGCGCAACTAGAGAAGATTACCAACGTTTACACTCTGTATTTTCTGCTGGCTGCACCTCCACCACAGAAAGCACTGAGCTAGGCTGAAACACCTGCATTTTGGAGCCGTCTTACTCAAGAAAGCAAGAAAGAGACCATGTTTGTATGCGGCTTTATTCACTAAATACATTTGTTTTTACATTGTTTGCAAATTGCAAACTGCTAATCAGGGATTTAGACCTGGGACACCAGGTGTGTGCAATTCATTATGAGGTAGCACAGAAAACCAGCAGGCTCCGTCGTAGTGTCAGTGTGTTGGTAAAATCACTGGGGAAGACAGAAAGAAAAAAAACATATTACAACCTATGGGTTGTGATAATTGCGTTGTTTGCTCTATAACCTGTTAGTTCTGCCTTGCAATCGTGATATTTAGGCCTAAGGCAGAGACAATAAGAA